TTATAGATCATCATTGTTTGTTAACACTAATGTCCGAAACCTCTTTTTATTCAAGGACCTCAAAGCCAATCAAACCAGAAACCGAAAGCCAAAGGATCGGTAGACGTAATTTAATGACAGTTGATGTATCAAAGCATCTCCAACCTAAGCTGACTAGTTTTAAGAAATGCGAAGAACGTAACCTTATCCGAATGTTTTACCGGGTGCATCCGCTCAGGAGTGTGTCCACCAAAACTAATAAGGTTAGTGTCGACGATTAGAACCTGAAAACTGCTTGTTTTCGGGATATATTTACCACTAAACTGATATCGAACAAACTCAGAGTTGGATTAGTAACTGGAATGCTCTTCAAGAGCAGTCAGTGAAAACCTTTGGGAAAAAGCGGACCCTATAAAAATACTTGCTGTTGAGATTAAAGCGAGCAAACTGGTGCACTATTTTTTGTACTGATGACTGAGGATTGTACGCGCGACATTTTGCGAATCGCGGTACGTCAACATCGTATTTTGATTTGCTAGATATACAACCATTACCATTTTTCTGGGGAACAGAAAATTGCAGCTGAGTTCTGCATGTTAAGGCAAACTAAGTGAAGTATATGAAGTGATAAAATAAAGGTTAATACAACTTTCCAGATCATTCCATGAAATACGACGACCATATGTAAATGGTCCGTTTTATCAAACTATATGTGTTTAATATACTGACTTGGCTGGCTAAATTCGCTTTTAAGATAAAGGTGGGAATTTTTCGTGATTGGATGGAGAAAACTTACTATCCAAATTTTGGTGCGAGTCGAAACGATTAATAAATGAACACTAAAAAATAGCTTAACGACACAATATCATGCGTTCTGACGGCTTGTCTCACATTTATGATAATACTTGGCTGCCAAAGTGGGTTGAACAATTCTGATCTATGTTACTACTTCAGAGTTAACTCCGAACGTTTATTCTCGTCTGTTGTCCATTATCACAAACGAAGTAGTTCTCATTTTTTTTTTTTTTGCAGCGCAAAGAACTAACCAGAAATACTCTGAAAGTTAGGATCCAAAGTAAGGTATTTTTCCAACCAAGGCTCAGTCGATGAAATTTGGTTGCCTAATTGGTTTAGGGTTTTCTGTTACAAATGTATAACAGTCGAGACTACATCACTTTACAGTAGGGCGAGGAGAAGCCGAGAAGTTGAGTAGAAGGTGCCAAAACCATATTGGCAGAAATGAGAAGAATTAAGCATAAGAAAAAATATTAAAGGAGTGGATGATGTAGAGTAATTAAGAGTATCTAGTAACATTTCAAAGACAGGTGTTATGTTACTGTTGCAAGTAGTCCCTATGACCCGATCAACATTTGACCTTTTTGCAGTAACTGAACCTTAAAATTATACTTACTAAGTTCATGACATATTTCTTCAGGATTCTACAATATCAGAACATGGAATGTAGCAATTTTATTATTTTACTTTATTTAAACACAAACATAGGTACAAGAAGACACCAAATAGATATGCTCCACATAAATCATTCGATTTGTGTGAGATCTAGGATACTGCCCGGGTGCCCAAACCGAAGTAGGTGGTTTTCTTAGGAGGCCACACCCCGAGCTTTTGACCTAAAGGTCCGATCCACAAGGTAATAGAGCAACGTCAGGAGATTCAGTCCCACGCTAGGCAATGACCAACGATTGGTTCATACGCTATCTGTTCTCTCAGGGTCCTGGTACCCATGTGATCATTGGTTTGGAATCAGGGTTTTCCAACTCACCTAGGTGAATCCTCCATATCCACCAACCCGGTTAAAGTGCCGGACATTCGCTTTTCGTCCTCTCAGTTTCGTAAACGGTAATGACATAATAAGGCAGTGAATATGACTTTCCTAGCAGTGGTTGTATGCATGTGGCCATGTGAGGGCATTTAGAGAGGGAGAGTTGACTCTCTCCACTCTCGGCCGTACTTGGGCATTTGGGAGCATGTAGCAATTTAGACAGTAGTTATCACATGGTGTTAACTATGCGAAATTCGAGTTAGTTAGAACGTTTACCAATAAGTGGGGAAGAGCCCTGAGGCTGTAGGCTTACCATCTCATTGACTTCGCCAATAGTATTTAGTTTCACAACTAGTGGAATTTAATCCAATGAAAAGTGTGGGGGGGGGCAGAAACACAGTGTGATGGACAGAGAAGAGATTTGTTTCTAACAAATTAAGTAGGTTTTTTACAACTGCGCTGCCAAATTGGTTAGATCCGATTGGGGTTGATGCTTAAAGAAAATTAAGGTTTATTGTTCTAGGAATTATGCGTTACATCTAGAAGGTAATCTTGTAACCTTGATTTGCTTCTCAAGACTAGCCAGTTAGTTTGTCACCAATTTTCAGACTTTATTTAGAACAAATGAATGTCCCTAAGAAACTACCCTTAAACATATCACTATAAAGTCCTTCTAGAGAGACACTAGCAATCAGTTTTGAGTGTGGTAAACAAACAAATATTTGATTGGGAACTGTTATATGATCTTCACCAATAAGGAAACATCAATGTACATGCACTACATTAATCACGTTGACTTTTGGGTGACAAAGAAGCTCTAACTTATCATTCAGATACAAACTTGGTTGTGCTTAGATGAACGGAATATCGCATGTCTAGGTGATATAGGTATAAAAAGCAACAGGAAATAGATTCAACAAATTAAGTGGAAATATCGGGATTAGCATTAGTGGTTCTGATTTCAGTGTTTAAACTAGGCTTATGATTTCGGAACTAAGACCACAATGTAACTGATAATCCATAAAATTACGAGTTTATTTATTCATTGTTAGCGCCAGGTTTCATTAACAAAACACCGATACGTGGCTCTAATAATATTGCTTTATCTAGAAGCTCAGCATGACTCTGTCAACTAAGGGGTCTTGTGGTAGTATTTTTCCTTGAAGGCTTCACTAAAAGTACGTAAATCTTCCTAAATCCTTGGTTGTGTTAAAGTTTGTAACAAAATTTTGGCTGAGCCATTAACTTAAGGTATCATTCTGTAAAGATATCCGTCCCGTATTCTCGCTTAACTCCATTATATATACACACTTTCCCTGTCTACCTTCTGAGGCCTATCTTCTACTTTCGCAGGTTACAGTCCTGCTTAATGAAGATGGTGACGGAATGTAGCCTTTAGAATCTTTTGAGTAACAATGCAAGGATGTTTACTGTATGTTTCCTTATCAGTGTAATACTTAAATTCAGAGCTGGTCTTCATCAGCATCTGGACTGATTATAGACAGCAAAACTACTGTGCACGCTAACTGCACTTTTCATGTTGAGTATCAACCTCGGTTAGTTGATAGCTAACAAAGTCTTGGGACATATTCAAAAACTCTTTGTTCTTGCCAACTTGGTTCGCTTGGAAATTAGATGTGTCTGTCAACCAAGGGGTATGTTGCACACCCGTCCTATCTGTATTACTCTATGTTTATGAAACATAGTTTGTGAAAGTAGGAGATATGTATAGGCTGCAAGTTTCTGACCATACGTATCTTTGAAGCATTGGTTGCGTAGAACAACCGAGTGAGCTGTCATGAGGTTAGACGTACTATACAAGATGGTTAATTGTTTGATGAGGTTATAAATCTTCATTGACTGTGAGGTGTATTATATATCCCCAACCATCATCAGATTCAAGGCCCTTAGGCATTTCGGCCTTTAACTAGATTGCAAGAAAGCTGGCGGCAGTCAAATTAGGACACAGCATTGGTCCATGGGGTCATTGATTGAGAACTTCCTGGTTGGAGACGTCAGTTGACGTGGCTAAAATTTGGTCATATCGGTGCGAATCTATTCATTTTTTATCTTCTTGTCTATTTTAAATCTCAACACTTCACACCTTATGTTCCTCTGTTTCATCCCTTTTCAGAACTCATGTTTGATTCTTTTCATAATCATCGACATTGCTATCACCTCGATTCATCTCCCATGCATTTCGCTGGTTTCGTTCCTCTGTGATAATGTGATATGTCAAAGTAGGCTGATGCATATTTGTGCCAAGTCTTGATGGATTTACAGTGCTATCGTTCATTTATGTAGTTGATAGATGACTTTCCACTGCGATCCTATTAGCAAATGCAAATTCTGTTTCCAAGCTCACACATAAATCCACGTTTACAGGAGCGTAAAATGACCCTATTAAATCACCAAAAAATCCTCTTAGCAAGTTTTGGATGTTTACTTCATTGATCAAGTGCGTTCAAGTGACGTTGAGGAGTAACACTTCAGATTTTTGGCTAGAGAGACGTGTTTTCCATTTGTACATGGGATCCAATCACTGAGGACTTTAGTATGTCGTTTGAACTACAATTTCCATCGCACAGTATGAAGTAAAGGTGGTAATTCGGTATGTATAGTATTGAGGACACATTACACATATACAGTTGCCAATAACTACAACAATACATTGTTTAACATAGAAGTATGCTAAAATAAAACCGAGTGGTTACATCAGAATGACTCTGGTATGTGAAGTTATTAAATAATATGCTAAGTCGTATTGGAAAGTACAGTCTTCCCAGTAGGGATTAGGGAGACAGTTGTTATTTACGGTCGGACTGACGAAGTTGTGTTCATTTTTCATCCCCCCTTTTAGCCTTTATTCATATTTCTCATTCTTCGACTACATTGATTCTTTAAAATACCTTATTTTTCATCGTTCCCACCATTCTTGGTCTTATTAATTTAAATTTTACTTTTACGCCTATCGAGTTCTTCTTGGTATTTTGTGTTTCGCAACCTGGGGTGTGACTAATCTGTAGTATATCCTGTTTTTTCGCCTGTCTACTGAAGTGTTAGAAATTCAAGTCAAAATGTTTGTATTGAAAGTAAAAATTTCGGTTGTTAATATCAGAACTAATAATTAATCTGTCATACATTACATTGTTGTATCATTTTATGTCTTACAATCACTGAAGTTTTGTTGTTCTTTCGAAGTCTGATTAAAAAACTCTACGTTTTTCAGCTTTATCCAATGGAAGCAGACAAAGAGCCGTCAATCAACATAGACAATTCAGAAATAGTTGTCCTTAGTTCAGATGATGAGAATGCTTCACAGAATTCTCATGACAATATTTCAAATGAAAAACTTTCAAGCAGTGTTATATCTGTCGAAGATGATGATGATAATAATACTAATAATGACGAGTCTGCCGAAAGCGATTGTGAGATCTTAAATATTGAGAAGTTGCAAGGTGAAGAGAAGTGGCGTGATATTCATGGTATGTTTATGAAACGCTAATATTTAATTTGTGACATCCAATCACTAATCATTGAAGTGGTTTTTTTATAAAAACTTTAGTGAGGATTTGTTCAAGTTTCTCCTATGCTCTTTATCACTAACAATAGTATACTTCATTCAGTTACCTCGTATAAATTATCTGGAGTATGTAATGGCATTCAGAGAGTAATCAAATTATTTGACAAACTATAAATATTACAAACATAGGAAACTGTATAAACTCAAATCACCATAATTCCCAACAGCTTAAAAAGAGGATAAACAAAGTTCAAAAAATATTAAAATAAAGAAAAATATAAATCGAGAGGGGAACGTAATGAATTAGTAATTAATTTTTCATGATCTGAGGAATGAAAAGATAATATATTTGTTCTATTTTAACCAAATCTGATCTCTGTATCTATGGCTTTCAACTACCTTTTTCTTTGTTTAGAAGGTCTGTACTTCCACTCAGGGCTTAGAGAAATATTCAATGGCTTTATGGAGTAGCCCTATGTTCTGTCCTTTCTATTTCTAGTTTCCATCGAATAACTAATCTATTTCTTAAGATTTCTTGATTCTCTAGTCTGTTCGTGAAATTGGAAATCGTTATGCACCTACAGTTTGTCATTTCTTTAGTCTGAGTTAGTTAAAACTATTTTGTCAGGAGTATTTATGCCAAATATGCTTTATAAAAATTTTAATAAAGAATCATTTCTATGATACCATCTAAAAAAAGAGTTAACAACAACAAAAACCATCGTCTCATATCTTAAATTTCAGTGTAATAATGTTATAGTTACTTGAGTTGACACTATTTCCTTAAATTTCTCCTCTTGAATAATCAAACCCCATTCGACCTACTTCGGTTTGGTCAGCCATACAGTATCACTAGTTCAAGAGCCGAACAAAAATACATGTTACTTGATAAATGATTTTCACATGTGATAACAGAATAGCTTTAAATAATCTTCCGCACGTAAGGTCCTGTTCTTTTTCCTACGCTCATAACTTCATTTGGAACTCTACCCTTAAACGTACAAAAATTCTTACTGAGAATTTTGAATTCTCCAGAAATGTTTTATCATAAGATGATATGTGGAAGATTTGTTGAAATAAGAGTCGCTAAACTACCGTTGTTTTCCAGTTTTGGATATGTAACCTGTATGTCATATGGCGTAGAGGCTTCACAAGAATCCAAACAGAACAGATGGTTCTGCGGTTAGTATTAATTTTTGGTGACAATCAAATGTGCATCAATTGGTATTCGTAGACGGCTTGTTTAAAACATGTATTAGGCAATTTATTCTCTTCGTTAATCATTCCTATTATACTTAATTCTATGATTAATAATTGGTAATAATCGTACAAAAAAGACAAATTAATAGTAAAAATTGCCATTTCAATTACGTTTCGGGACATAAATCAATTATTTTTTGTTCAAAGATTATGGTTTTTTTCACTTTCAATATGAATTTATGCGATAAAATTTTATGTTATCAAATGGATTCATTCTCATTTGATGTTTGGTTGGCGTAGTGTGAACAGGTGATTTGAATTAGTTACTTATCTCTATTTTCAATCTCTAATTCATGATTAATCTTAATTTTACTAAAAGGAGTTAGCATTCCGATTATTGATTTGTCATGTCAAACCAATTTCTTGTTGCCGGTATATATATTTTGTGCATATATCTCGATATCACCATTATCCTTTGATAATGTATGTTATTATCTAAAACTGCAGAGCCTAGGATAGGTTCAACGGGAAGATGACTTATGACACCATAAAGATTTCCTTATATGGAATATGGGCCTGTGGATATCTATCAATACAGTTAGAAGTAGCAGCACACCACTTCTGGTTATCAATATTCTTCTCAGATAAAGTGATTTTTTTTCGTGGTGCTGTATTCGGGTCTTTGGAAACACTAGATTCATGTATATGATGGGTCCTACGTAGAATGAAACGATATATATCAAACTTCTAGCAATTCTACTTCATTTGTTACTTACACTGCATACTTGCGTTCAGAAAAGAGTGATTTTGAGAAGTCTTAATATCCTTTGCTGAATGTTAAAATCTTGTTTTACGGTCAGCTCTCACTTTCCTGTCTTCACACTAATCCCACTAATATGTGTAACAAAATAACCATTCAAGTAATAAACTAGATAACTAATGCTATAAATAGAGTTCAAATATATAGCCAAAATTTGCACCAATATATTTTCGTGTATTATCTAATTCAGGACTAACTGTATCATATAACGCTCTAAGAACACCTATCTATCATATGAAAGAGCTTGATTGTTTTAGCTGCTCTGATAGGTAACATCTATTATTTTAGGTCCGTTTATCACATGTCTACATTTTTTGTTTTAATCTCACATTTTTACTTCTTTATTCTTTTTCTGCAGTAACTTTAACCAAACAGCCGTTTCAACTACGTATGCTTTTAATTTAGTGTTTTTATTGGAATAGGTTCTGTCTATGATTATCATGTTCAGTATTTCTGTAGTAGATTCATTATAATGTTTTATCTAAATTTATCATTTTCTCTGATTGAATGTAGTGTAAGTACTAACTGTTCTTATGATCTAAATCGCATCAGGTCCCTTCAAGCGTCTGAACAGGCTCATACAAGCTGGCTTTAATGATCCACGGCTGTTGTTGGTTCGTGTTTTTGGGATGGATGAAAACTCTTTACCATCTGATCCCAACCAATTATTAAGTTTATTACTAACACTTTTGGCCGAACCTGCTCCACGACGTAGACTGCGCCGTATAAATAGTTTAGAAAAAGTTCTGTCACTTCTGTCTACTTGTACATCAATCCTCGTAATCACTGGTGCTGGGATTTCAGTGTCATGTGGAATTCCTGATTTTCGTTCTCGTGATGGTATTTATGCTCGCTTATCTCGGGATTATCCAGATCTATCAAGTCCACAGGCAATGTTTGACATGTCATATTTCAAACGAAATCCTATTCCTTTCTTTAAATTCGCCAAGGTATGGTTTATTTTTCTAGAAATCCTACTTCACTACACGTAACCTTGATAACTAGTGTGATAAAAATCTACTGATTAAAATTGACATAGATATTGAAATGCTGTGATACTCTGCCTTCATAATAAGGATCATTTTACAAATATGCATTAATTTATTTAAATGGATTATAATTGTTGAAATGATAACATTTAAACAATGTAATTCAATTATCACTTGTACCTTTCAGTCAAGGTTAACCAAATGTTACAAATTTTGTTTACTTTGGTGGACTACTAAAATTTAATGAATGAATATCTTCAGATAGTTTTGCGATATTTGTCATTTCTTTTAAATCACCTAAATATTTTTTAAGACATTTTGTCTTTCATAAGGTTTTTTGGTGAGACTATAATTTATGGACGATCTTCGAGCGATGCTGAAGTGACCATGAGAATATTCAGCCACTTGCTAGGGTCAAAAGAGGGTTATGCATTGATGTTAGGAAATAAGATTAGTATTCAGATTAAGAAAATAGGGTTAGTAATTAGAGTTAGGGTTTTCATCACAAACTGACATAAGCTATGATGGCGAAATGCTATTTAATCATATAAATGATTGAATTTTACTCAAAAATCCAAGACTTGCTATTTTTAATCTCATTGATTTGTCCGTGGATTATGGTTTCGCTGATTTGTCCTCATAGCGTTGAGAAAAGTAGATAAATTAGCATTCTTAAATTTTGTCGAATTTTACAATCATTTCTTTCTCACTGCGTCTCAAATTGTCCATTTAAATTTCCAACATTTATCAAAGATAAAAAAATTGAGCATTATTCGAAGCCTTTTTACTAAATATACTTGTCAACTAATAACAAGTACATAACGTTTCCAGATAATGCCGACTATTAGAAGTCCTGATGATTTGTAATTCATCCCTGTCATATCAAGTGGGAAATATACACCATATTGTTTTACGTTTGTTTAATTTGTTGTGCTATTTTCACCATATATCATTATCAAATAGAACAACTTAGGTTTTATGAATGATATGTTCATCTGATTAACTGATCTGATATGTTGATTAGTCTGGACAAGATAGGAGTGGTTAATACTACTTAAAGTAAATAAATATTATGTTGCCGTTATCACAGTCTAAATAAAGCAGAAAATTTCACTTCTGGAACTCAAGTACATTGACGATATCGTTATGTCTTGAAACACAGAATGACAGACAATTATTCAATATTTTGGGACAGTTTCTTTTAAGAAAGAATGTAAACTGACATTTTGAAAATCACTCTTGTTCATGTAGGGATTTAGTTCATTAGTTTGTAACGGTTAAGAGATTTGTGACTTTCCATTTTTATGGTACACGACTGTTGCAAACATTGCAGCACTGGACAATTTTTCGCTACATCATGTGTGATGATCACATAAAAGAATGGTTATGTTGATTATGTTCATTTTATTTCTTTATCCTTACCGTTGAAAAACTTTAGGAGATCTTCCCTGGTCAGTTTTCACCCTCGACTACTCACCGGATGATTGCTTTATTGGAGTCCAAAGACAAATTATTGCGTAACTACACACAGAATATCGATACTTTGGAACAGGCTGCTGGAATTACTCGACTTATTCAGTGTCATGGTGTGTAAGGGATTACTTGTTAGGTTTCATGTTTACCATAATATTTCTACTCCGTAATATTTCTTTGTCTTCATTTATATGTTTAAACACAACGCGGTGAACGGTCTCTAACAACTCGTTAGACTTTCTGGTTTTCATTACTTTCATAAAGTTTGGACATAGTATTAAAAGAAACGTGGGACAATTTTGTCTGTGAATTTATTACGAAACCAATCTTTTTTACAGCATAAGTATTAATTATCGAAGTGAGAGTAGTATTGAACTTTTTGGAGATTTTTTATGAGTTTCCGTAAGTAATAATTATTAAAAGAATGGGTTGGTTGAATCAATGAGGAGCGGAGTACGGAGAAACTGAGTTATTCTAACCAATTTCATGAAAAATCTGTCTCAAAGTAAAACCAATACTAGAATTGTTCTTATTCTCACCTCTGGTTTGAACACTTGGTACTTATATTTTAGTTTATTGTTTTCAACTCTATCTTTATTCCATCGAGAAACATTTACCTAATTAGTTTATTGCACTAATCTATACTTGGTCACTTTTAATGCTTAACTCGTAATTTAAAAAAGTAGTTGGTTATCTTAAAAGTATCGTATTAAATATTAATCTCAATGTATTTGTTTGGAATTCATTTCAAACAGTTGAACTTGTGAAAGCAAATATCTAAAATTAATTTCTCGAGAAATTCAAAGGTGATTAACCTGAGAAACATGATATCAACCTGTCAGTTCAAAGTAGCTATAGTAAATTCGGTAGAAGCGTAAGCCTAGACCAGAAACATCCAACTTGATCATCTCCAGAACTTACAGAATTACTATACAATTAGTCAATATATGCAGACAGAATTAATCTGGAGAGGTAGAGAGTCTACGATAAATCATTTGCTACACTTAATTTACATGTTTGTGTTTATTTCATAATTGTCAATCCAAGGTCATTGGGACTACCTTTACCTGCCAATATGAAGTTTCATCTTTCTCGGCCGAGGAAAATCAATATAATCTTTTATATATATCAGGTGCCTTTGTGATTGTTGTACTATTTTATGTTCTTTCCTGTCATTCAAAGTGTTCAAAAATAAGCAATCAACCCGAATTTCTTAATTCGTCGAATGCAATAATCAGCCGACAGACTGACAACTTATTCAAGCCTTTTGTGTTAATTTCGTTAAATTGTTCGTAAAATCAGTTGCGACAAATTAGTCTCGGTCAGCATTCTGCTCAGTATTTGAGTTACGATCAAAATCTCGTCAAACTGATCTTCAGTCTATTATTCCTAAGGGTTTGGTTTTTCCTACTGCTGATATTCAGAACTAAATTTTGACCAATCTCTTTCGGGATATATGCAATCTGAGTAGGTACCTTGATCTTCAACATATTCTTCACACCATCTTAGCTTTTAATTCTGAGGTTTGTTCGATTGGTTTATATTCCTCACTGTTACTTACAGTAAATATTACGTCTAGTATACGACCCCAGTATGTTTGGAAGACATGAAACTGGTTGTCTATACATCTTTTTCTTTGAGTAGAACAAGGCTCTAATTTCAGTCATTACGCTTATTGTTAATATCTTTTGTTTTGCTAAATTCGATTTTTCCAGCTCACTCTCGTGCTCAAATCAAATCAGAATTAGTTCATGAACCTCAGTAATCTTTATTTATCAAGCATATATATTTATAAATAATTTTTGATGATCTTTATAGAGTTACGGACGTTAATCCTATATAAGAAAAAAGTAATAATAACAGTTGTTATAGGCATTTCTACTTGAAATATTTAATGTAGATCCTTCTAATTGTATATTATCTTTTCTAATACTCTTCAATTATTTATTTATTGATCTATCAATCAATCAATCAGACAAAGCTTAGAAACGTATTGATGTGAATAGTCTTTAATTAGTATAGTTTTTCATTTATTACACATTGGTCACCATTAAAAAAGAATGAATATTTTTTTTGTTTTAAATAGACGGAAATACATAACTTTCATAGTTACCACATCTATTTGTCATTGTTTACAATTTTTAATATTGAAATATGTTATTTTCTATTTTATTCATAAAAATTTTATTACAATAATATTTTCAATCATTATTGTTATTTTCTTTAATTTGTTTATTGATTTATCATATTATTAGGCTCATTTGCATCAGCCACTTGTACAAACTGTAAACTAAAAGTTTCATCTGATTTTATTAAAGAAGCTATTTTTACTCAGTCTATACCACGATGTACAAATTGTTGGCCGTCGAAAATTGATTCGTCATCATTATTACCAGATGAAATGAATGACTCGGAGTCTACAAATCATTCATCTGATTTGTCTACTGTAGAAGAAAATCATAATAATAGTAACGATAATAATAATAATGGTAATGATAATGATAATAATATGTTAGTTGATACATCTCCAAAAGTTAAATCGAAACGAGCTAATAAATCTCGACGTAGACTAGCTTCATATGGTGTATTAAAACCGGATATCGTGTTTTTTGGTGAAGGTTTATCAAATGAATTTCATGACTCTCTTTCCAATGATATAAAACAAACGGATCTAGTTTTAGTTATTGGATCATCGTTAAAAGTTCGACCTGTCTCTCATATTCCTAGTAAGTATTATTGTTTTATTTTTTCCATGAAACTAATTATTATTACCTTCATAAAGACTACTTAAATAGATTTACTTGACTCCGGAAATAAATTCAGGTAACATACATCATGTAAATCACTTTTTATGTGATTTATGTACGGTCAGATTAACTATCAGGTTTGACCGAGTAGTATTTAACATCAATTAATCAGTAACTTATTATATGAATACGTATTTACTGTATCATACTTATCAACTTTTACGCTGACTGACTTTTTCTCTTTCTGATTCCGTTGTAGTGAACAGAACACGGGTGGGGACAATCGAATGTATGTGACACAAGATTACAGAACTCGTGAATAAAATCTAATAATCATAGTAAATGCTTAATTTGCAAAATGTCCATCAATTGTCTCAAAATGACTCAGACCTCATTGTTCCTTCATTTTCATACAAATTGCATTCTGTTTCCATTCTTTACTGTTCGATCCTTTTGTCTCTCTGCTGCCAGACATTCTGTTCACGACTAGCGTCATATACTACTTATGTCGATATAAGTAGCACACACCACACCGTTATATTATCTCTTGAAAATAAGTTCGATTGAAACAGTTAGAATAGGTGCACATCACACACACTCTCTCTCTTGAAGAATGTGTAACCTTCAGGGAGTAATAGTCAACATCTTATAGCTCTGCTCATCATCTGATTGATATAACTGAACGTTAAAACTGGATGATTATAATTTCATATGAATTTATAAGATATTTTATTGCCAATATGATTATATGAATGAACAGTAATACAACATTTAGGGCTGATAATATGACTATTAAATTGATAAATACCTTTGAATAGTACATCAATGGATCTGAGCATCAAATAATTTCATCATCATGGTTAGCAATATCTTGCATAACATTTGAGATTTCATCGCGTGCTGATTTTGGGTCTAAATGCGACTTGAATATGTTGCTGGTCATTAGTTTGTCTGGCAGTCACCCTGAACCGGACGACTGAATTGAACTGGACAGTATCGAAGCTAACTTCTCCAACCTCTTCATTAATATCTTCTGAGATGTTTCGAATAGCTACTTTTGCCACTTCAAAATGGATTGGAGCCTCTCTGTTAATATTGACATTATTAATCTATTTTCCCATAGCCACTGTTATGTCTGTTACAGGGATTGTTGATATGAATTTATTTGTCCCCAAAAATAGATCTATATGATTTATCCGTACACTACTTTCTATCTGATCTATTTAAAGTGATGTGATTGTAAATTACTACTGCCATTCGAAACTTAATGGTTATACTTCTCTGTGACTTTATGCGTTGTTGTATAAAAATCTATTTCATATTTCCTGCAAGATCATTTACATTATATTATATTTTTCTTGACACGATTGTAGTAGCTTTGTAAACACAATAGCTACTTGGTGGACCATAATCTACAACTATTGTGTTTATGGGTTAGCTATTATGACTGCCTATTATAAATTATGTAGGGTGTGTGGTCTTGAACCTGACTGATAGTTGATCTACCTAAACCATTGATTAGATCATACCTTTACAATTTCTTTTAACTTCTTTCAACACTATTAGCTGCCACCCGTTTTTTATTTTCGACTTGATTGTTATCAGATTTTGCAATTTTAATTCAATATCCCAAAAATATTAACTCTGAAACATGGGACCGATGAATAGTGTAGTGCTGTGTCTATTCATGACTATTCACTAGCTTGAAATTAGTTTGAAGATAAGTACAGTATAAGATGCACAAATTAGTTGCTTCATGCTATTTTGAAAACCTTCAAGATTAGTTTCGTACTGAATTTTTCTAGCACTTAATGTTTCGGGATCTAACGTACCCTCTACTTCAAACCCATTTTATCTCTTTTTTTTCCAACACAGATGCTGTTCCTAGGCAAGTTCCACAAATACTTATTAATAGAGAACCTTTATCTAATCATGATTTCGATGTTGAATTGCTTGGAGATTGTGATATTATTGTTAGCGAATTATGCCATCGATTGGGTTGGGAAGTTTCTGGATTATCAGACCATACACCTCTTACTGAAATTCCTTTAAATTCGCTAAAAAATACAACCGAACCACTAAAATCTGATGAAAAATCTCTAAATGTATCTCATCTCATTACTCAGGACACAGTGTCTTTGGAATTAGTGAACAATGAATCCCAAATAAATAATTCAGAAGTTAATGAGAAGACTTGCATCTCTACTGTTTCTACATCTGGTAATTCTTCAAAGGTGATTAATAAGAATCCTCCGAATGATGCAGTAATTGAAGTTAGTGAAGATGAGGAAGATAGAGAGTGTGTTTGGGAGGTAGCATCAAGTTTACCACGTAAGTAGTCTATCATTTTAACATATATCTACTACAAAAATGTTTTTTAATCATCTGCTGGAAAAACACTATTACAGTTTTTAGACATATTTTCTAACCGGTATATTTTTGCATCTTTTATTTATTGTAATAATTTCACTGTTGTCGTATAAAAATCTAATTACATAGTATCCATAGTAAAGTAAATAAGATATTGATATTTAAACTATGTTTGTAAAGAATGGACTAATTACATTTTTTTGGATATAAAATGCGCTCATTATCTGAATAGTCAATAGGAGCACCTTTTCTTTTGAGTTAAATAACATAGATGGTCCCTTTTATCATTGGTAGTTATATTTTCTCACTGTTGGTCATTGTTCACTCATCGTATAGAGTTATTTTGTGAAGCGCAAAAGCAGTAATCTCTACTCACATTAGGGTGTACTTGAGTTTGTTTGTGATCTATTTTGTAAAGAAATGGTATCAGTCATCCGATTCTCCGAAAATCAGAAGTTGAGGGTTTGGTATTTTAGATATTCGAATTCCAACTACACGGCTGTGGGTTCAAATCAGTCATTTATCCTGGAGCAAGTATGGGTGATCACAACTGAGTGAAAAGCAAATAGATCAGACTAATGAGTAGTATTAATGATAATAAGAAAGACTAAACATTTAGAATATGGTTCTAAAATAAGGAATGTAACAATAGAATAAAATTGTGACATCTATTATGATGAAGTTAATTGAAAAAATAAAGATAGTGGACAGCCCTGCTGAGCAATTCGTCAAGTTTTTGATTTGGATGACAGTTTGCTGTAAGATGTAATTCGACCAGGTGTTCAAGTAAAGAGTCTATAGAGGGTGTATACTTTTTTTGGGACACCTCCCAATAACAAAGATTAACAATGCTTCTGAGTTGATGGAATCAACTGCTAGTTACTGTTGAATGTTAATATGTGTTTTAAAGTCTGCCGAAGAACAAAGATTCGATGATTACATCCACAGCTAGGTATAGAACTAGTCTCATACCCGTTTTTGTACTGTATTACGAATCTCGTAAACAAATTCAACTCCTGAAATTCTAATGACTCAAATTTATTATAATGGGAGCCAGTTATATTCTAAAAGTACGTGATTCCTATTCTAAAGATAAAGAAACAATCTCTTTTTCATGAGCGAAAGCCATACTATTTTTTTCGTGGAAATAAGATTTTCATTCCATAAATTTCTTCTTTTGATACTTTCTAGTGTTTCTCCACTAATGAGCGACCAATAACTTACCTGTGGTTATTTCCTGCTAATGTTTATGCAGTGTTCCTAAATACACTTCACCTTTTCTAATTGCTTTAAATCATCCTCGTCCTTTTTATTTGGTGGTATAAATGGGGGTAGTAATTAGATTACGATGTATGTTCCTAACCTGTTATATGAATATTTCCCTTTCTGTCAACAAGTGAACCTCATCTTTTGAATTCGAATTCCTGAACATCTCCATTCACCCGTCTATAGAGTCGTGATTGTTAAGCAAGAAACATTTAGGATGTAACATATATCAACATCAATGAGTCCTCTTATCAGTCAGGCAGTCAGTCAGCTGCAACGTAGGACCAGGCACATATATGCATCGGTCCAAGTTGCCATACCTCATTAGCACAACAAGATGAACACCGGATTCATAGAAGTAGTTAATTCAGTGATGGTAATATATAGAAGAAAGATTGCATATAAGGAGATAGTACAGGAAGAAAGAATTAGTTCGTAGAAAGAAAGATATGATGCGATTTTAATCTCTTAGTTTAAAGGAAGACAGAGAGTGTATACACCTACGCCATTGTGATCGATTCTGAGCCATGTCACCAAGAGTCTACAACCATTGGTTACGATAGTCACGCGGACCCCAAACAGGTAGTCTGCATCTACCAATATGGCTCAGACCAGAAGTTGGTGACTTCAAGGACTGATGCCACGTTATGGTTTGACCGCCCCTAACTTTTTTCCGACCATCCCCAACACTAGTCAACGTTGTGTGTCGTAGTAATCGGTATTCAGGCATACGTAACACGTTGCCCAACCATCTCAGTCGATGAAGATTCATGACCTCATCAACTGATTTACCATCATTCCCTAATACTATACGTCTAACCTCACTATTACTTACCCGGTGATCCTAGCAGATGCGAGCAGTATTTCTAAGACATATCTGGTCAAATACTAGTAACTCACAAGTATCTTCTACTCTTAATGGCCACATTTCGCAGCCGTATAGTAGAACAGAACGAACTGCCGCTCAGTATACTCGTCCCTTAATTGATAGACGGATATCTCGCCTTCTCCATAGATGACGTAAGTTGGCAAAGGCCAAACGAGCTTTTCGAATCCGTGCTGAGATTTCGTGAGACACCAACCCATTAGTGCTGATCAGACTTCCAAGGTAAGTGAAGTTGTCAACGCGTTCGACTACTTCACCCCCTATCCTTGGTTCAGGTGTTGACGCAGACCAGTCCTGAAGCAACAACTTGCATTTGGAGGGAGAGAAGCGCATCCCAAACATTCTGGCATTGTTGCTCAGTGCTACCAAAGGACTCTGCATTTCATCAGCGTCTTCACCAAACAGGACCATGTCAATAAGTGGACCTCCTGGTAGGAGATCAATACTTGAGAATTCAGTCGATGAGAGCGTTATTTCCATCAGTAGATCTATGATGAAGTTAAACAAAAATGGAGAAAGTGGACAGCCTTGACGGACACCACTTGAGGTTGCAAAAGCAGATGATAGTTCTCCATAAGCTCTGACTCGACTAGTAGTGTTCGAGTAAAGAACCTTCACAAGGTTTATGTACTTCTGAGGTACGCCTTTCAATGACAGACACTGCCACAAAACCTCTCGATCTACAGAGTCAAACGCTGCTTTTAAGTCAAGGAAGACCACCATTGTCGGACGCCGATAAGTATGCCTGTGTTCTAGAACCTGACGAATGGTGAATATGTGGTCTATGCATCCACGACCAGGTTTGAAGCCAGCTTGATTCTCTCGTGTTTCCAGTTCACGAGTCTTAGTTAGGCGTCCGATAACTATCGAGGCTAGTATTTTAGATGCTATATTAGTTAAACTAATCCCTCTATGGTTGTCACAGGATGATTTTGACCCTTTCTTATATATTGGGACGATAAGTGATTGTGACCAATCAGAGGGGATTACGTTCAACTCCCAGAATTTAGCTAAAATATTGGTCAACCTAGTCGCTAAAATTGGACCACCATCCTTAAAGACCTCTGGAGCTAATCCATCTGGACCAGCTGCCTTTCCTCGTTTTAGATAAATATAGCCTTTTGAACTTCAGCTAGAGTTGGAGGACCTACTTCAATGTTCCACTCACACTGTCTGGGAATAGGGGGTAGTTGTAGAGTAGCTGAAGGCCAGCTGAACTGCTCCTTAAAGTGTTCCGCCCATCGTTCTAAACGTCTGGACTGGGAGCAGATGAGAGTGTTATCTTTTTCCGAGATAGTCTCACTTACACCTGACCTGTTAGTTCCAGTTTCTTTTATGAGTCTGAAGAGCTGTCTGGTGTTCCCTATAGCCGCCGCCTTTTCCATCTCTTTTGCTTTCGTTGCCCACCGCTGCTCACGGTCATTCCTTAGACTTTTGCTTAACCTAGATTTGATTTGTTTCCGCTCTTCATCGTGTCCAGATCCTGATGGGATGAGTTTACGCGAATCCATCAGTGCAATAGACCTTGAAGAAATCCATTGGTTCTTTGTAACCCTTTGGTTTAAATCACCAATAGATGTCACTGCTGTTTCCACAGCTGATTGTATATCTTTCCAAGCAACATCTGGGTCAGCCTCGTTTTCAGAACTACCTAAGTGTGACTCAGTTGTTCTTGGAACCTACTTTTGGTTTTCTCGTTACTCAGTTCAGTTCTGACGAGTCTTTTTTTAATGTGGCTTTTTTGCGTCCAGTAAGGCGCAAGCAGATGCGTGCTCGTATTAGGGCATGGTCGGAGTCAAGGCAGGTATTCCAGAATGAGCGACAATCGTCTATCGACCCTCTCCAACGATGACTGATGGCAATACGGTCTATTTGAGTCCATCGTTGATTTGGTGCAGGGGGTCGCCATGTTAGACGATGTCTTTCCTTATGCTTAAAATTTGTGTTTGCTAAAAATAAATGATTGTCTGAGCATAGTTGTAGCAGACGATCACCATTATTTGTTCGCTGTACCGGAATACTAAAATACCCACCTAAATGTCATTCTGTTTCGTTTAAGCTACCTACCTGGGCATTAAATTCACCTGCTACAAGTACTGTCTGAACGTTTAGCTTTCTGAAGAAGTTCAGAGAGTTTTCTGTAAAATTCATCTTTCACTTCCTCCGAACTGCAGTCAGTCGGAGCGTAGGCAGAAACGACGAAAAGGCAACGACGTGTGTCCCTATCCTTCTGAGTTCTTACGGGGCCGTTTAGCCGAACAACGCATAGACGACTGTTAACGGGGATCCACTCTAATAGCGCTTGTTCCGCCTTCATGCTTAGTGCTATGCCTACACCTAACAGTCCACGAGAACTAGCCATCGGTTCGCCAGATACACGAAGGGTGTATCTCGTCGTCTCTTCGTTTTGCCGAGGTGAGGTCAAGTGAATGACCACACTAGGATCCTGTATGCGTGTTTCGGAGACACAGCATACATCAATCGTACGAGATTCTAAGGTTTTAGCCAAGGAAGTCTGCTGACCGATTTGGCATAGTGTGCTTCAATGTGTAGTTTGGAGCGACGTTTCAGTAGACCTGGGATTGTGTTTTGCGCACTAGAATCGTTGGCTATGGTGACACTTGAGGAGAAAACCAAAAGAGGAAGTTTAGTGTAGCTCCGTACTTGTTGAGACCTTACCGCCGGAGACGGATATCCGTGGGATAAGGCGAGGTGTGCATTTTTAGGGTCGACCTTTTCTAACCCCACCCCTCCTAATGAGAATTCCGCATCGCTGTTATGCTGGTTGTCCGAAGGAAACACCTTACTGCTGTCACACCTCTGTACAGTCAGCAGTACGACTTCGCCTTCGGACCTTGTATTTGTTGCTTTTAGTCTTACCGCTCTTCAACTGACCTGTCTGGCATGGTAGGACCTTGAGGAACGGTTGTTCCAGTCAGTATAGCTCAGTTGCTTCATCACGATAGGCAAGCCCGACCACCACGTCAAGGTAGCAACAACGGTCCTCTTATGACACTCATCAATTAACAAAGGTTGCTTATTATGATTATTATCAAAGTTTTAATATTTTAATTTAAGATTTTGTGGATGTTAACCTAATTTATTGGTGGTGCTAATCACAAGTTGATGTCATTTAGCAGGTGGTGCCTTGAATAACGATGGCTTAATAATTAAAGAGTTGAATTACAACTAATGGGTCGCATTTCCGAGTTCCTCTTCACATACTTCGGCTTGAGCAGCCGGGTAATGTCACCACTTCCCACACATAGTTCGTAGCTCAAAGCCGAGTACGTAAATCTGTAGTTAGTCGGTAAGCCATATGCATATACTGGGAACGAAAGAGAGCTGAATGATTGTCTCATCCCAGTATGAAATTCATAAATATTGTACCCTTGACACTGATCGGACCCATGGGCTTCAAACCCCACATTGAGTGTGTTACCTTTAGGCCACTAAATTAGGATCCAATGGTACCCTAATTAAGTTGTCAATCTGTAATGTATTCTATTTCCAAATATAATAATATTAATTCTCACTGTTTTAATTAATTAATCTTACATGTTTTTTAAATTTTTTAGCTGGAACATTTACTCGTATTTATCCAAATCAATATGTTTTCCCTGGTGCTGAAATATATTTAGACAGTAAACCTGGTGAAGTAACGATCTCATGTAATGCCTCAGATATCTCTATTACGTCTAACGCGTCATCAGCATCGTCTACTTCCGGTCATAATGATGACTTAGATCAGATAAGAGATTCACTTAAAGATGAATCTGTTTCCATTGATATAACTGAAAAAGAAGAGTCCAGTATTCATTCATCTGATTCACGTAAATCTTTAAAACGGCATAATTCCAATGAAAATCTGTCTTTGAATAAACAATCATCGTTAAAACAACCTCGATCTATGTAAAAAAAATGACTAAAAAAATAATAGTAAAATAGAAGACATGAAAACCATTCAGTAAAAAAGTAGAAAAGAAAACAACTAAAATGAATCTCATTAAAACAAAGACGACAAAAAAGAGTTTGTTAGTTATTTTTATTCTTTTTCGGCTCATCCCATTTTTTCTTATATCCATAGATATTTGTGTAAATAATATTTATATATATATGTAGATCCTTCTTTTCTCAATGGAACATTTTTTGACTACCTGTTTATGATCACTTTTCAATTAGTTAAATTGATTCACACATTGGTAATATAGATTCTGTAAAAAAGAAAAAGGAGGAACAAAGATTAAAATGAGAATTATTATCAGTGTTTTCTCTCAAACATGTTTCAATGTATGTTTCTCACTTATTTTTACTTGAAAAAGTTCTTCTCTCTCTCCTTTCCGACTTATTATTAATTTATTCATGATGAATTTTGAACATGTTTTTTTATGCATTTGTTGTACACTACAAACATATTTTCTCGGTTATTGTTTGACAAACAATTATTATGCTAACAAGTGCTTAAGAGATAAATTTTTTTTAAGAATTTAATGGGACAATATGTCATCATTTAGCGATTTATGTATATGTTATTCACGTAAAACTAATCGTGAAGTAGTTTACGCCATAGTATATTGACAATTATAAAAAAATCTCATGCGTTGTATCTTATTCTAATTAATATAGGAGATTGCTGAATTTTCATAGATTACATTGTAGATTGATCTTAGATAACTATAGGAAACCAAGAAGCACTGGACATCTGTTTTTTCTTTTTCTAGTATGGGACTACTCGGCAATGTACATCAAACCGGGGATGAAATCTAGGATCTTCGGTTTCACGAGTGCTTGACCAGTCATTCATTAGTGTACGTGTCTAACTTATCACGATTTGTTATATTGGAAAAACATCATAAAAGGACTGTGGTTTAAATTTGTTGTTCAAGCCTTCTCCCATATTATTATACAGTTTTTAACGCTTTTCACTCTTCAAACTGGTCGTTCGATAATATTGGTAATTTTAAAAATGATAGAATAGTTTAATATTGTTTTGAGATGGACATAAAAGCCAATCACTTATGCACTGATTACCTTCTTAATAACAATGGACTCCAGTAACCACTCTATCACTAATACGGATTCAAGTTTAAACATGGTTACGATCAGAGATAGTTTGTTTCTCAGGATGCTATATCATATATTTCGTGGGAAAAAGTATCCATATAGATATTTGGAGCAAATATTTCGATAATACTTGAACTAACCACTATTTCTTCAAAATATTTGTTGTCATACCCTCAAAATTTGTCGTTAGGGCTAAGCAAAATAGTTGTTTTTAAGTCAGCGATAAATTAAGCATTTCATGCCTCTCTACCTTATAATGTGATAAATTTCTGATTCCTTTAGTTTTTCAGACATGCCACGACCTACGGTGTCTTCGGCGACTGGATTGTGTCTACAACTGCGACACAGCCAGTCTACAGTTTCGCACTTAAATTTATTATAATTACTGTCCAGTTTTGTTTATACTAGGTATAGTACAGATGGAAGATTGATTGATTCAAATCTCCATTTATTTATATTTTACATAAGTCATACTACTAGATATTTCCAAATCTTTATGCATAATTATTTCTAATATCATCCCAGCATTTCTCTTGAAAATACTTATAGTAGTAATCATGCTTGTAACTTGTTATCATAAACATTTCTTAATCATATCACCGTTTCAATAATATCTTTCTAAAGTAAAGTTTTGTTGTCAAATCTACTTAAAGATAATGCTTTTTTCGATGTTGTTGAATGCCCACTTATATGATAATGATGTTGAGTTTAAACTTCAATTTGAAATGGGAACGTCTCCACTGATTTCTTTTACAATAAAATAGGTAGATCTTAATAAAAAGTAATTTAAGGTAGTTGCAACAAGAAATAAGTGAGATAGAGCCGGTATGGATAATGGTAAGAAATGTAGTGTATAGCGCAAATGTGTAGTTTGTCATTTTGGTGGAGTTTCGTTCTTTGAGCTGGAAGACGAAACTTCACCAAAATCATCTATTTGAACTACAAATTTTTACCATCTCATGTATTGACTCACGTCGTCGCATCATATACAATGAGAGGAAATTACCAAAATAAGAGTAAAGAAACAAGAAAAGAACCTAATCTGTGGGAAAACGGATGATAAACACAAAATTCGACTGATACTTAACATGATATTTATTCACTGAATGGAAGCTAATTTAGGCATCCTGTAATAATTTCTTTTAAAAATCAAAATAGTCATGATGAAATCTAATTCACATGATAACTATAAGTGTTGTGAATTTCCAACTAGTTTGAAGGTGTCTATATGCTACCATTACAATGCATCATCCTATTAATTAAGATAAAAGTATGTCAACTACGTACGAATTGATTCATTTTCAGAATGTAAACATAGTAACCAGTTCACTCCAATCCTTGAAGATAATTATCTCGTTTTAGGCGATTATAATTTTCCAGTAATCCAACCATATCGTTTCTCAGCAACAATCAATATCTAAAATCCGTTGATGTCAAGTGATTGAAGGCACGTGAGAGAAACCCCATGTGGATCCACGTTTCGCGTCAGTTACCTTCTGCTTTTACAAAATACTATTTACAAGTACGGAAAACTAGAACGAATCATTAAGTTGATTTCAAGCTTACACTCTACTTTCCAATAATCTATCGGTGTAAAACTTTGTTCATGAACAATCTCAGAAAGATTAATTGCAAGAAGAAAATCTAAAGACATCATTAATATAGATGTATTTCTATTTTCATATAAACTGACAATGAATAATAACAATAAGAGAACTTTTTTTCTTACAACAGAAATTGAATGATACAAGCGTATGAAGGAATCTAGGAAAACACATGAAGACAATCAGAAATACAGAACAACTAAGTAGTTCATCACACAAATAAAAGCGATAAAGAAAAGAGCACAAGATAAAATATTTATAAGAATAAATGAAATAACAAAAATTAACTTGAATTCGTAAGTAGATACAATGAAAATTATCAGCACAAAATAATGGCAGCTGTATATTAATTAATATAATATTAGAATTGACAAGGACAAATATGACAACAGTACTGTTTGATTGACCTAACCACCGCCCATTCATCGCACACTGCCTCTTTGACCTATTCATCCAACTAATCAAATAATTAACCCATTCCCAATAATAAAACGCATAAAATCTAGAAATAACATTTGTAGACACTTTTTTTAAACGATATGTAAATGTTTTTGCTATTGTTGTTGTTGATGATGATGTTGTTGCTACGTAATTCGGAACAAAGAGTGTAAAGGAAGAAATTTAAGTAGACTATTAGTTATTTAATAAAATTATATGAAAAAAACAACAATAAAAAGAGCGTTTTTCGCATAAAGGCTATTTTTCAAGTGCACATATCTAATATTCTTATTTATTTATACAATAAGTAAGTAGATTTTATCTTCAAATCTGTGATGTGTAAAGCAAAGCGAACAAAAAAGAAAAAAAACAGAAAAAGAATAATACAACACACAATAAATAATAAACTCTACTTCCAATAAAATAAATGATAATGTGATTTAGATAGAACAATGAGAAGACGGAGTTGATCTCATTCTTCTATCGAAATTTATATAAGGGACTAATTGCTTTAGATAATGTGATTAAGTAAAAGAAAACAAATTCGAAAATAAATTAACGAAAGTAACCATTTTTAAGGGGTCAAAGTAAATTTTGATATACACATTTAGTTGAATTAAAATAAACAACTAATAAACAGTTTTTCACATAGCTATATTATTATTACTGTTATTTGTGGTGTCAGCATCAGCGGTAACGTCACTTAATTCTGTCGATTGTTGATAGTTTGTATTGTCAGGGTTTAGATTAGATTGTAATAAAGGAATTTTAGATTTTGATAACATATCTATACGTGAATTATTACAAACTGAACCGGGCACAGTTACAGAATCTTTATTTGTTTTCGTACTGAATTGAATTAAATTAGAATCAGTTGGTAATGAATCATTCCTAGGTGAGGATGTAGCAAGTTGAGATTTGGACATTGTTTTACTTATTTGAGGTAAATGTTCAGATTGAATGACACCTATAAAAGTATTAACGAAAAAAAACATTTAAAAAAAATGAAACAGTTCAGTACAACTTTTGGCAATAACAACTCAATAAGTCAGTCGAACATAATCAACTTAGCACTTGGTACCAATTAACATCAGTCCCAATACCTTTACCACAACCACAAGAATAAAGAATATGGAATGGAAGCTATAGAATAGTAAACAATTACTAGATATATGCTGTCAAAACTTTGTTATAAATATTTCATCTACGGTATGAACTACATGAGATTCCAAGCTCATCAACCAAGTTTATCCAATCTCATACTGACATTAGTAAATTATCTTTAACATGATAAAATTACGATTTATTCAATTCTGAAGTAAAATACTGATACGAATCGTCTTCTTAATAGTATACAGTTAAATTCTCTTCTTAATCATTTAAAATTGTTTAACTGAGATTATAACCATATAGTAATCTCATTGATTTTAACCATTTAACTAAGATATTCTTTCAGACATTAGGTAAATTTGAATTATGCATAAACTACTTATTCACCAGTAACTAAAGATGTCTAATAGATTTCTAAAATCAAGAACTCAATATACGAATATTCGTCAAGATTAGAATGAATAGTTTGATAGGAATTAGGCAACGAGTATAGAGAAAACATTTTATGTATATAATTTTCAGACAAGAACTCAATAGTTCAATATATAACGCTTTGTAGCTCGGAGTAATAAATTCTTGCCTGAAATTTTCCACTGGAACCCCTATATCTAATAATTTTCATGTGTATCCAACTGGAAAGTTCTTAAGGAGATAAGTCGAATATGCAGGATTAATTATATTGTAATTCATTTAGAAAATTCTAAATTACATAATACATATAGAATAATATTAACGAAATTTATAAGTTAACAATTAGGCAATCAAAATTTAGTTTCAGTGGTACATCTAACATTTTTAGAACAATGTACGAGTAATGAATCAATATCAACTGAAAATGTATTATATTCACTACTTAAAACATGCCAATAGTATTCATTTTTTGATTCTGATCAAATACTACTACCACTTCTATTACTAAATACAGTCGACATATATCTCAGTCTTTACATCGCAATTAAGCCAATGATGAAATTGTATAAAGGTTTCACTAAACTTCATTTATAAACTGATTCATTAAATTCTATTTCCCTGTCTTAACAGTATTATGATCAAAGATGGTTGGTGACTAGGAGTGGGATTCAGGACGCGGGTTTCATCATATTTGGGGCTCGTCAGTTAGATGTTTATCGCGTGTGATATGAAAGTTTTGATTTTGATTTCATAATTGAGTACTGTTCAGTAGTTACAACCTATTTAGGGTTATTTAGCTTTCACATGATTTATATTTGATGTAAATTTATGATAAAGACTACATACATACCAGATTGTTTGTTATTGAATTCTTTGGAAAATGTTGGTGTTGCGTTACTTGTGGAAGGTGTACAAAGTGCTGAAGCACGTCTTTGATGTAAATTATCATCTACACTTTTTTCATAAATTGTTTCACCATGCATACTATTTCTATGAGGTTGAGATAATGAAGCAGCAGAATGACGAGATGGTATTATAGACTGTAGATCATAATGATATTTAATAATATTATTACTATTATTAGCATTAGTGTTATCAGTGACAGAATTATCATTTTCATCGTTATTTTTAACTACATTCAAATCATGATTTGATGTAGGTAATGATGCATATGAACTGGCTGACGTTGTACTATATTGTGATGTTGGTGATGATCGTGGACGATGGGTAAGGGAAGAGGATTTACGCTGAAACGTTGTCAATGTAGGTGTGATTGGTGCAATTGCACAATCAGATGAACTGTGCAAATCTTCATTAAAATCACTACTCGGTTTCCATTGAGAAGCTAATTTTGTTTAAGAGGAGAAAAAAAGACAAAAATTAGGGAAAAATAACGGACAAGTAAAAACACAAGCGATTATTTTATTCTCTGACACTAAAACATAGGTATAAGGGATTTGTGGAGATAGTTGAATTTTCACAGCTTACATCATGGACTGATTTTAGATAACCATTAAAAATCGAGAAACATTCCGACCAAGGATGGGACCCAGGAACTTCAGTTTCACGACGAGTGCCTGACCTCTAGATCATTTAACAGTTATTCGATGGTGTACATGCCTAACTTCAATCAATTCATGATATTGTGTAATAATCAACCACTGCCATTGGCGCATAACTATCTGGTGTTTCTTGGCTTTCAATGATTATCTAACTAAGATCGGTCTGTTATTACAACTATGAAAATAAAATATAGGCCAAATAGCTATCGATATCTGTTACGATAAACGCATATATATATATATATATATATATATATATATATATATATATATATATATATATATATATATATATATATATAACGTTGTAGAGTTCTGTTTTGAACGTGTTATTTTTATATTCTGAAACTAATTGGAGTATCAGGGAAAACTATAGAAAATTCAGTATGGACATACAATCTTGACAAGTGTCAGCCCCAGCGAGTGTATTACCAATGGACTGATGAGTTGATGAACGTTGGCCAATATTTTAAATTTATGATGTGGTAGGACATGTATTCATTGTGTTTGATAGTTCTTATTTCACTTCCTACAATGTCTCAAGGGAGCTTCAAGAATTCCTCTCCATATTAGCCACCAGAGATATAGTGTTGATAGGGTGGGAAGTTGGTGAAGACTGGATCATATTCCAAAACCACTCAATGGCTTATTCCTAATAATTTCTCAATTTTTTATGGAACTTGAAAACGAAGGCCCTTAATGAATGAAACTAGGCTGTTTTAGAAGTGACTGGGATGACTTCTGTGGGTGATGGTGCTCATAGATCTCTAAAAGCAGAATAAAAAACAACTACTTAATAATTGTGGATATCGTAAACACGGAACCGTCTGATACAATAATCAAATGTCCAAAACTTTACTGTTGTTTTTATTTGAAAGAGTTTGTATTTCTCTATTCTTGATATTAAGTTTCCAGCCAATATCTGGCTTTAATATTTACTTTTGAATAAATGTTGATATTCAGGCAATCCGTACAGAGTACGGATATTTTCAATAGAGGTTAAATGATTTCCCGGTTCTTAACATTAATAACAGGAAAATAAAAATGTTTACAAAAGAATTTTTAGTTCCCCGTGTAAGTCAACGGTTATCTGGACGTAGTAGATCAGTAAATAATATATTGAAATTTAAAGACAAAGGTCCTGGATTGAAATCTCAGTAAGAACATTAATGTCAAGATGGAATTTCGAAACAAAATATTTGAAAGAAAATTTTGAAAATGTGCTTCCATAAAATTCATCTATCTTAAAAAGAATTTTTCACAATATTTTGCGCTGATATCAGGAAATGTGTTCTTTTCAAGAATAATATTTAAAAAAAGTAATCGGTCTTACGTATGTTACCTTGATTGTTTAGCTAGAAACAAGCGATTACAAACCACATTAATCGATCACTTAGTATCAATCATTGTCAAGTTGTTTAGTCTTAAAAAATAATTAAATTCGATTGATCTCCACGTGGTATGACTAATAGTTCAAATAGACCAATATCAAACAGTTGGATGTTAGAATAAAAGCAGTTGGTACAAAGTTATAGACCTAGGTTCCCTGATTGTTGACCCTTGTTAGCGAAACCTATCTGCTCATTTTGACGGGACATATCCCTTTTCCAGTATTTGAAGTTGTGAAACACAGTTTGATAGTCAAATATGTTATTACTGTGTGGTGCGCGTTTAGAACTAAAGATGAAGGAAATAAGTTTTCTTTCAGTATTTACTAATAAACTCTATTAACACGTGTTAACTATCATGAACTTTAGACCTGATGACCGCTTTTAGTAACTTTACAGTAAACATAATAAACATTTTATTACAAATAATTCTTATACTTCAATCATATACCATTATCATTTAGATGTGAAGTAAATAAAATTTCTGTTGTAACCCTCAGTCTGTGATGTTAAAATTGACATTTCAGAAAAGAAGTACACTATATAGTGTGCAGAATTAGAAGGAAACTATGATCAATAATATTTGTGTATATGAGACAGAATAAGATCTCAATTATTTCAGTTTGGATTTATAGATAAGAATTTATAACCAAGAATCTTAATTCAGCTAGTTGGATTTCCGAGTTAGTTGAATCCCACTAATCAGCCTTCACAAATGATCTGTATCAAAAAAGTAATCGAATGTTTTATAACTTTTCTATTGCGATGATGAATTGATCAATGTTAGACCATCATTGAAAACTTGGAAGCACTGGACGACCGTTTCGTCCTAGTATGAGGCTCCTCAGTGGAGCCAATCCGTGTCGGGTAGAGACAGGATGGTAGCGCAATTTCGTGGATTGATTGAAGTTAGACATTAACACTGTTGGGTACCGGCCCAATAGTCTAGAAGTTAAGTGTTTGTACGCAAGACCGAAGATCATGGGTTTGAATTCTGTGTGCGGGATCGTGGATGCATACTGGTGAGGCGTCCTATACAAGGACGAGATAACCGTCCAGTGATTCCAGGTTTCCAATGATGGTCTAACATTGATCAATTCATGATCTCAATCGAAAACTCAACAATCTCCACAACCCCATTGCTGATAATTTATAACCTATCGACATTTGTTATAAACATTTCTTTTACATGATTAAGGTTATCATGAGGCTATGTGAACGACATCGGAAAACTGAGTATGTTTTCAATTAGTGTATTTCAATCATGATAAAAGTAGTGATCCACTCAACTTTTTCTTTCTAGCACTAGATCTGTTCATCATATTAGGAGTCTTAATAATTTCAGTCACCCTATAAAGTGGACAAATGAAAGTTGATTACAGTACCTTATCACGTGATGAACGGCTTTGCCAACAAGTAAACACACACACACACTTAAAGAAAGCTTGAATCACGTAAATTACGTGGAAAATGACAAATCATATCGTTAAGGTACACTAGTAGCAGAAACAACCAAGTCAAACATTACAGTTGTTATCAAGTGATGTTATGAGTATTTTAAAGGTAACTTTAATTAGTGACTGGTGTTTTAATGTACATAAATATTAGTCTACTAGACACCAAAACGGTAACGTAAGAGTGTCTACAGTACCGGGGATGTTTGTTTATATACACTAGATCTAAAGGAGAGTGTAGCAGAGATCCTAAAAACAAACTTTCAACATCCTTGTGTAAAACATCCAATTCGGTTAAATTTCGTATTGTTTTATCCAGATGGCCTTTGATTCATGGGTGTGTGAAGGATAGGGTCCCAGTTTGATCCGCATGAACATGTATCTATAAATTTACTTGCTTTTGTGAAGCAGGTCCGATTGATCACATAAAGAGAGATTTTACGGAACGCATTTCCGAACAATCCTCTGTCTGATTGTTTAAGCAAACATGCAAATAAGTTAAAAACTTGATTTTCGAACAATTCGTAAACTCTGGTCGCGCTGATCTATCAAAATATTATTTCAAAATCATCTGTTTAGTCAAATGAATACGTTAGAAGATGATATAAACGAAAAACTTATGTGCTGAAGAGATTTTAGCAAATTTCTTCATACAAAAGCAACATTTTTAGTCTCTCATTCTACCACTTCATATCTCACATACTAAATAACCAATTGTCATTAATTCTTTCTAATTTCTTCCATAACTGCTAACTAGTTGCTACTACAACATTTAATTGTTGTTCATATTTATCGAATGGACAACCATTTCTTATTTATAAACTATCTTGATGTTTTCTTTTAATGATTCGATCACTACATAACCTCATTTTGATAGTCTATACATCTAGCCAAGTTACGACGTAATATTACTGTATTTTTTAACAAACTACCATGTATACCAGATTAAGATAAGTAAAATCATAGTTTTAGTGAAAGAATTTTTTGGTTACTGAATACTGCTTATTTCGGATAGAAAAAATCTTACTATTTCGGTGTCATTTTTTTCCATACAGAAAAATAGATTTTATTTCCAAACATATCTCCTCAGTTGATTAGTAGTTTAGATTTCTTTTTGATCGAGATCATGAACCGATTGATGTTAGACCACCATTGAAAACCTGGAAGCACTGGACGGCCATTTCGTCCTATTATGGGACTCCTCAGCAGTGCGCACCCACGATCCTGCTCGCGGGACTCGAACCCAGGGCCTTCAGTCTCGCGCGCGAGCGCTTAACCTACTTGACCACTGAGCCGGCATCCAACGGTGTTAATGTCTAACCTCAACCAATCCAATGGTGGTCCAACATCAATTGGTTCATGATCTCAATCAAAAACTTGATAATTTCCACAACACCTAAATTAATAGTTTAGATTTCGTTTGAGATTAGATAGTCGATTGTATGACCAAATTATCAGTTCGACTACTTCGATCATTCTAGCACTTATCCAACTAATTATTTAGTGACAATAAAAATTAAATAACTAAAGTGTAAGATTAATTTATATGATTGTAGGTCAACTGATAAAACTGGTTAATTCATTATCTGGTTGTGACTTGATTTTCTATATTGACATTGATTATTTTCATTGTAAACAATGATAGAAATTAGGACTATTTGAATGATTATACGCTTACGTGATCCGATAATTATCTTTACTATAAATTATGATAAATGAATTTCAAGGAATTAATGTGTTTACAAAGTGAAGCAGAATGAATTTGAACTATAGATTCATAAACACAGATTTTCATAGTGTTTTTGATTGAAATCGTGAATTGATCCATGTTAGACCATCATTGAAAACCTGGAATCACTGGATGGCCATTTCGTCCTAGTATGGGACTCCTCAACAGTATGCATCCACGATCACGCATACAGGATTCAAACCCAAGACCTTCGATCTCGCGCGCGAATGCTTAACCCCTAAATCACTGAGCTGGCGTCTAATGATATATTTGATGAAATAATACATTAATAACGAATAATCAAATCAAAATACCATTTACTAGTCAGTTACTGAAAATCTCTAATGTTAATTTGTCTTTGATAATAACTAAATGCCATCGATTTGGTTGTATAAACTAGTTATAAACTTAAGCGAGGTCACTATCATTATTCACCGATTTTATGATAATTTAATAGAAATATTGTGGACGGTGGGTATCCAACTAGGGATTTGTAATGTATTGCAGTTATATGCTTTGCTGTTGAATATCGATTAATATAAAACTAAAATTAAATGGTTTTTACTAAGGGTTAATTTTCAAGAAGTTAATGTAGTATGAATTCTTTCTTCAGTCTGAATAGGACGAAAAGACTTCTTATATAACTTGGAATTTAAGCATGGTTTCCAATACTATGTACCGTTAGTGATAAAGTACACCAAATAATGTTCATACCATTAAATATTTATGTAATGGCTCATTATCGTTCCAGATAAGTAATTATATTCTTAAAAATATGCGTAATATTAATAGAAGTATGAATATTTGTATAAGAATAATTGTCAATAGTAAAACAGGCCTAAAATATTTAATCACTATTTTATACCAGTAAAGAAATGTCAAGTTATGATAAATATATTTTTAATTTAAACCACGAACTGATCTCAGCTAGAACACTGTTGAAAATCTGAAAGCACTGGACTGTTGTTTCATCTTATTATGAAACTCCTCAGAGATGGCGATCCAAGATATCCCAGGACCATCAGTCTCACTCGTGAACGCTTAATCTCTAGACCACTGAGCCAGCATCGAGATTTAAACCATGAAAATCCTACAATTTCTACAAACCCTCTTATACATTCTTGATTCGTAAGGTAAGGTTGATACATCTCTAAGAAAGTATATATATATATATATATATATATATATATATATATATATATATATATATAAGCATAGCAACTACAACTTAATTGTATACGACCATATTAAAATTAGCATGCAGGATATATAAAAATAAATATTAAGTGCAGTGAAACAAATGTGTTGAATAAATTTGATACGCTTCACAACAACCATAGAATGATCACAACATACTTCAACAACAAACATTATGATGATAATGACGATAGTACCTTGAATGATGACAGTGATGATGGTAATATCTAAGCATTTTACGAAATAATATTAACAACATGAAGCACAACACAATATCAAACAATAATTATGATTCATGCTTACTGGATCATAATAACAAATATAAATATAGATGACTAGATTCCATTTGATCAAAGTAAAAGACAATAATTACTCCAGTGTTGGCCAATGTAAAGAATGTAATGAATGTTAAATTACAAAGAAAATATTTTATATATTTATAGAATTGGTTTTGTGTAAAATGAAGATATATCATATAAAGTGTGAATATATACAACTATATAAATGTATATTTTTGAATGTATGTAGTTTGTAGTTGACATTGTTTATTAAGAAGTTTAGATTATTTTCTAGTACGTAATGAATGATGTTTCTTTCCTAGTGTATGAGAATTAGTGGTATTATTATTATTATTACTATAACTACAGTTATTATGATTTGCTGGATTAGGCTTCGTACTAGGCATAACTAAATAAAATGCATTATCTTGTCCAGGACCATTCATCATTAATTGATATAAATTATGAGTATCATTACGTGAACGTTTATGAACAGTTTTTAAACGTGATGAACTAGATAAAGATGATTCAGAAGATTTTATTATAGAATTTTTATTCATTGTGTTCGACATAAGATAATCAGTAATCTGTTTACTATCATGACAACTACTACTATGACCACTTTCACTACAGCTACTTGTTGAACTAATCACCGGATGATTATATTTATAATTATTACTACTATTATTTAAGTTGTTTCGATGGTTTGATTTTACTGTTGAAGATGAATGTGGAAAAGTAACAGATGAAGGAAACCAGTATGAACCGTGACCAACACCGGCTGCTTTAGCTAAATCTGCTATACTAGTTAAGCGTTCACAGGCATCTAAAAAATAAATATGAGAGTGTATGTGTGCATGCATAATAGACCAGAATGTGCACATAATGTAGTGAATAGAATCATACACATGGAAGTATTCATGCAATCGTAAAATTGAGATTTCATATGAGAAATTCATATACATATACGATTTTATGTGTACAATAAGAAGAGGAAAATGTGTCGAATGGAAAGGATAATATAAATGAAAAACATAGGAGAAAAGCAAAATAAAAAAGTTCATATAATTAGAAGCAATAAACAATATGAAATATATACAATATTTAACTATTCGAAATTATATATATATATATATATATATATATATATATATATATATATCATATGAGTGTACTGGTCTGAAATCTGATGTTATGGTGTACATTACTATGATCTGTCTAGAAAGTAAACATTATTCAAAACACTGTTCTCAAGACGTCCAGTCACCGACTGGGTAATGTTAAGTTTAAACAGAATTTTAAGCAAAATAAAATCCATTAATGCATTTGTCAACTTATATTGATCAAACTAGGTGGGATGTGTTTTACATATACTGTAACTCTATTTACTTTAACGCGACATGCTAGTTGATAATAAAAACTATGTTATACAGTGGTTAGGTTGTTACACCACACCGATCTATGTAGTCTGTAGCAATTGGTTATTATGAGCTTCATTATAGCAGCCGACTCAATAGCTTAAGCGGACGTTTATTAACATGAATTAAGGTGGAATAGCCGCCTAATAGTTAAAACAGACAGCTTTCAGTAATTTATCCCAAGATTCAAACTTAGCTTCGCCTCTCAATTTCGGTAGTTAAACAGTGGTGGTATTTTTCATATGGAAAGTGTGACTTTCAAGTGAGCACATTAAAATTTGTGTTTGGTTACTGAGCTACATAAAGGAATAAATAAAGTACATGGCCTATAATTAATCTTATTAACCGGTCCAAATAAGGGCTATCTCATAGCCCTTATTTGTAAAATATATATATATTTTACATATTTCTGTTCTTTGTTGTAATTTTTTTTCTTATGACCTTTCAATCTTATGATTCATTTCCAGTGTGGATGTTGATATTTTTATCCCTTTCAATCTTCTTTACATAATTTTTTGTGTGGTGCTAACACAAAGTATAGGTTTTATTATGCCTCGTTCATCCTCATATATCTAAAATTTATACTAAATATATGCATAAACGTATATGTACTCTGCTTTAGATTCATATGGCATACACCTTAGACTTCATAGGCCTTCTTAATTTGTAATCAAGTGTTTATAAACATCCACGAAATGGCATTAGCAAAATAACTACTGAAAACTAAGCAGGACTGATTATCCATTTCTTCCAAGTATGAAACTTCCTGCGACCGAAGACAAATGATCCTTCTATTGACAACCGTATATATATATATCAGAAGAGAAGTAATTTAATGTGTATTGGGAAGGTATACAAACTTTTTGAGAGTATATCAGTAATGGTTTGTAATTTCCAACTCTTTTTATCTCGGCTGAAATTGATCAGTCTCTATTGGCACATGTGTATCCAAAGCAAATTATCCCACTAACTTAGTGGACAATGAGTTAGTGTTTAAGGCGATAAGCTTTGGGTTCGAATCCTAGAGTGAACATTAACAATAGTATGCAGGTATGTCTAGCTGATGATCCTCAGATACTGTAGTGGACGCTACTCACAATATTGCATAAGTAATGCGTAGCGGAACTTGATATCGAAGTTGCTACAACTGTCAGATGGAATGTAGAGTATAAGTACATCGGAAATAAGGTGTTACCATAACACGTACAGATCAGACTAGAAGACGGTTTAAATTGAAGAACGCACCGATAATGCAAATGGAAGATTGAAGGCTATATATATGTATTATGTAGATACTTCCCACAATAAAAATAAACTCCTCGTGCTTATTGTCGTGTTTTGCAATACTATGAAACGCGAAGCCTGGATTCTATAATTATTCACAATCCAAAATTTACTATCTTGTACAATGATCTCTTAAATTCCAATTTTCATGTACATTTGTGTTGATATGTAGACTAACACTAAACTATATCAAAACTGTTCGTCATATATAATATATTATCGTAAACTGGAGCTCAAAGAGTAATTGAAGATATATATATATATATATATATATATATATATATATATATATATATATATATAATAGAGGAGAGGAATAAGATGAAACGTACCTCGACATGGATCATTTTTAACTAAAAATTCGTCCAGTGTCACCCAGCCACCACCTACACGAACCATTACAGCACTACGAAGGATGCGAACTAGACATAATTTTTGTGAGTCACCGAACTGTAATTCAGGAAAAAAACATTGATCAGTTTGCAATATAAGATGTCATAAAGAAAAGAGGCAAAAGCATACTTATTTAGAATACAATATGATAATTAAATGGAATTTTATGTAACAAGATATATACAAGAAACTTAATACATTCTAGTCGATATTATCTTACTGTTCAGTAAAAATAAAGCAGAATGAGTTTCAAATATTTATATGACAGTCTTATGAGTTATTTAACTAATTTATTGAGTGATTATTCAAGAAACGATATCCTCAATATATAATATGAATAATTAAATAAGGAGATTAATAATATTTCTCAGCCTTTTGAAAACAAATCAACTTTATACTATTGAAAAGATTATCACTGAAATGATGACATTTTCAAGAGATGAGATTCAATACCTAATTTTACTCACTTTCGTATTTATCAGCAATATTTCAGGTGATGAAGGTAGTCAACAGGAAGCTCCGCTACTTAGATTAATGGCTACGTAGGATCTTAATCGATAATATTCCTTTACCACCAAAAAGTAGCCGGATAGGACATTGATCATCACTCATTGACTGGTCAGAGTAATTAGTAATATGTATTTATATTATTTTCTAATACAACTGTATATTCTTTGTTTTACATGATTTTTAAACTATAAAGAAACTTTATCCTCAAAGTTTATAACGAACAAGTACCGTGGATAGTTTTCTTGGACCGATTCCGAAGTACTTGTTAACATGAAGATAGTACTGTCACATGAGATTTAAGTCCTTTTGTAAATAACGCGATAGTCTTAAATTTACTTTATAACAGCAAAATCATTATCTGTTTCTGTATAAAATTATTAATTATGAAAACTAGTCTCTAAATAGAATATTTATGAAGCATGGTTAGTGTTTATAATCTTCGAGTTAAGAAGACGCTTATTAGTAATATTTCTGAAAATAAACACAAGGTTATCCTGAAAGTTAATCATAAAAATAATTTGTGTATGACATGAACATGAAACTTGTTCCACATTTCAAAAACGCGATATGGAATTTATAGAGTCTGTTGATATTGAATTTAAACCCACCAAAAATACTAGATGAATAACTGGAAAGTTTCGAAGAATAACGGAAGGTGTATTATCTATTCTATACAACTATTTTATCAACCATGTACTGTGAATGAATTCACGCTGTTAGACAATGGTAGTCAGTCTACAAGGACTAAGGTATTGTATATACTGTTAGGCATTAAAGAACTATATATTTTCAGTATCAAAACACTCTATAACTTTCCTCTTTCTGATAATCTTGAAATATCACCCTGTAACCAGAGATACTGCAATCTAGATCAACATTGAATAGCACTGAGTCAAGTTTCTAGAGATTTGCAAATTAATCAAATTGTAAATTGGATATAAAGAAAAAAATCTATCAATTATTGTGGTATCGTCAGATTCACAAAATGCATTGTTAATTTGTAAATCGATTATATATATTTATACTGAATTAAAACTAACCCGATATTTATTTGTTGCCATTTTCTTAATTTTATATGTGTTATGACATGTACACAAGCCAACTTGACGTTTTAATTCATCATTAATGGTTTCTTCATCCGATGGACCGAAACGATTTAAACTTAATGAACTGTCACCATTAGTATTCGATGATGTTCTATCAAAATTACTATAATTAGCTCTTAATGCATTTAAACATTCACGATAATCAATATATCCATCTCCGTTAGCATCGAATATATCTGCAACTGTTTCCATTTCAACACGGCTTGTTTGGAATTCTATATAAATAGAGAGAAAAGGCTTTATTTAGAAAAAAACACCTGAAAGAATTGGGAAGAATCTTTAGAAAATGATGTATTATTTGGTAGGAGATGATAATTTAATCAAAGAATTACAAAAAGAAATCTACTTTCCAGAAAAAAATTACGAATAACATATATCAACAGTTAAAGCATTTCCAAAGAGCATTATACATCATGAAATAAGTTAAATTTCAATCTATTCATGTAAAGAGAATAGCATAAAGCTAAACTATTTGTATATAAAAAAAATATATACATATGCTCGCGAATCAGAGAATAAAACTATGATAAGAATCTACTTAGAATTAAAATAAATCTAAATATGACTTAGTAAATATTAAAAACATTTAAATCCCCTCTAATAGTAAAATTGACTAGATTGTACCAAGGCTTTTCGAGTACAATATAAACAGGGTGTACTCAAGAGGCGGTAAGTCGTGTTCAATGTTCAAGATTTGCCACGATAGCGAGACCACCAAGTTAGGGGTAGTCAGAAAAACCAAAAAATTTCATATAATTGTGGTTTAATATAATAAGAATTTTTCAGTGATTAAAAACATTTTAATCCTATTAAAATAACATAAATGTTGGTAAGTTCAATAGTTTTCAGAAGCGGTTTTGTGGATATTGTAGTAATTTCAATAATTGAGATCATGAGTCAATTGAAGCTAGACCGCCATGGAAAACATGGAAGCACTGGACGGCCGTTTCGTCCTATTGTTGTGCCCCCTAGCAATGCACATCCGCGACCCCGCCTCGCAGGATTCGAACCCGGGACCTATCAGTCTCGCGCCAGGCGTTCAACCAACTAGACCACTGAGCTGGCATCCAATGGTGTCAATGTCTAACTTCAACCAATCCACGAAATTGATTGACACATCCACCATTGTCATCAGTGAGTTACTATCTCAAAACTGGGTCGGTTGAACTCCACTGATCACGGTTTCTCACTAGAGCTGCAGGATATACCTCTTGACGTCAGTCACTAGTGAGCATATGTTGATTAGTACCAGAAGGGGTTTTGTGGAGATTGTAGTAATTTCAACATTTGAGATCATGAGACTATTAAGTCCTGGGTCCGAATCCCGTGAGGCGGGGTCGTGAATAAGCGCTGCTGAGGAGTCCCACAATAGGACGAAACGGCCGTTCAGTGCTTCCAGGTTCTCCATGGTGGTCTAGCTTCAATTGACTCATGACCTCAACTGTTCAATAGTTTTGTTAAGATAATTTATCAGTTGTGATTATTTCTCAACTTATGTGTATATTTGAACGAAGAATATTCTTTTCGATAAATTCTCTTCAGGTTCTGCAACTATATATCCAAATTAATAATATATATATAGTTGTAGAACCTGAAGAGAATTTATCGAAAAGAATATTCTTCGTTCAAATACTAGTCTTTTAAAATGACAGGGATCTTTAAACGATTATATGTATATTATCCTGAAAGATTAAACAAAAGTGAAAATATTTTTCATACATTTATATGATTACAAAAGATAAGAAGAACTAATTAGAAATGAAAGTCTGCAAAATGCAACTTTCAAAATTGATTAAAATAATCTATTTTACTTTTCACTCTACAACAATTTACTGCTCGTTTGAGTATGTTCTGGTTCCTCATTACAAATATTATTACTATTATTATTAACTTTTGTGGTTTGTAAACTTATTGTTCACTAATATTATTTCTGTCTAGTTACAATGGTGTACTAATTTATAAGCCTCTATATTATTGTTCATTTTGTTTGTCTATCTGCCTACCTAAATGTCAAAGGAAGTTTTTTATGAAAAGTCCCAAAAAGCATTGAACACAGTTACCAGGTTCGGAAAGCCATTCAGATTGGATTACTAGTGTAAAACTTTGACTAGATCATATATCAAGCATTATCTTTGAGTAAAACAAGAGTAGTAAGATTAATCGATACTCCTAGAATACAATCAAGGTCAAAATAATTGTTTTCTATGTTAATCAGTCATAGAATTAATATAAACAGTCAAGTATAAACAAAGTTTGACCTGATATAAAGGTGTAACAGTTCTAGTGGTCATATTTCGGATCGATATGACAGGAGGAAATCGATGAGCGAGAAATTAAGGCGCTGAAATAATAATAATAACGGTAGTGGAAAGATACGTGTACAAATTAGATTTGAACTAATCACAGAGATCGAAACTTAAATAATTCCAACGTTTGGTCCTTCAATCTTATCTGAACTTCTTCACGATAGTGAAAAAAATTGAAAAAGATGAATGAATAAAGTGAGAGACATTTTTGTCCAACTACAAAACGTAACCGCATAACACATAAGCATATTGTGATGTGCGCTACTTAGGCGGACATATATGAGTAGTATATAGAGGGAATAGGAAGTGGAATACTTATCAGCAGAAGATTGAAATAAAGAGGAGAGAAAGGAAAACAGAGCAATCAAAATAACAACAGAACTGAAAACATGATGAGGAATGTAAAGGGCAACTCAAGGAAGATATGTAAATAATGTATTTAATGTATGATTTTCATATTTTACAAAGGCATTGTGTGATTTCACACAAAATAAACCAGTTTACCGTACTTGTCTTTAGTTCACGCCAATATGCTACACTCAGTCGTCGCACAATTCGTACGTTGTTTATTTGTGCCAAATAAAATGGGCACAAAACATCTAGTTTTAACTTTTAAAAAGTTAGATAATTTTCGGGGGGGGGAGTTTTGAATGGTTTCTTTGTAAAAAGTGGTAATCAGTGTTGTTCAAAGGAAATATGTAAAATAGGATGTTAATTTATAATTTATTGATTTATCCATTGGTACGATAACTGACCAAAGTGAGTAGCTTTATCTATGAAAAAAGGTTGAGAGTTTGATGTTTAAAAGTAACCTGAATATCAATAGTTAGAATGAAGTATTGTGAAGACCGCTGTTCGTTGATACAATCAAAGACGTGTGATATATTTTTAGAATGCGGTGTTAGCTCTTGCCCACGTTTTTTGATATATATCCTAAATAGTCAAACGCAAATTTAAAGTATAAAACAAATATTAAGGTTGTATGAGTCATTATTGTTCAAAGTAAACAGACGGTGAGTAGTACTTGTCAGCAAATAGTTATATAATTAAGCTCGTATTCTAAATATTAAACTTGGTAGGAATAAAACGCTACTAAGTTTAACTAAGTTTATATCAGTAGTTTAGGTAAAATGGTTAAATATCAGAAGGAAGGTCTCATTAAAAACTTGTTCTATTACTTTCTAACTAAACAGACCAGTAACAAACATTGGTGGATAGATCATAAAATCATCAAAGTAATAATCCTTTATTCGTTAGACTTATTTTGAGCATGATTCCCATAACTCATAGTGGATGTCCATGACCTGTAGAATCAGTCAAATTGAGAATAAACTCAATATAGATCGATAAAACATTAGATGAGTGTAGTGATTGTATGTATATCAATCATACAGGAAGTACATAAATGCATAAGTTTTGATATTATGTATGGTAGTAGGGGTGAACTGCTGAAAAGATAACTAGAATAGAACAGCTACAGAATGTTCTCTACTATGCAGTTATTTTTCATACACTATCAGTTATAGATGAAAGTATTTCATAAACTACCAATTCACTGTTTCAAAAGCATTAGTTGTAATTTACTAGTTACACATAAAATCATATATCAAGTTGAATAATGTATAGAAGCTTATAATAGTGGTATATTTTCAATATAGATCAGACTATATTTGAATCTATGATTCTGTTGTATTAAAAGTTGACTAACTGTACTAATAAACAGATTTAAACCCTACACTTTACTAACTTCAATTTGGACTGTTGAATAGTGTTATTAGCCTTTATACTTAAAATATTAGCTTAAAGCCAAATGTACAATGATCTGTAGTTGATAAATAAAATTGATAAATCAATTAATTAAAGTAATTAGCTACTACTTCTTATTCCTAGAACTTTGTTCTATATGAGTTGTTAAACATTCAGTCGAATACATTATTTGTCTATTACATTATATACATTAACTTACTAAAAATGCATTGATAAATACAATATATATTTTAAATTAGAATAACCGTTACATGTAAATAATATTAGTTCACTTTTCTTGTTATTTTGTCTTTATTATTATCATTATTATTCATGAAAATATGTTATGTTAATTGTAGAACTGTGACAGTATTTTTGGCACCATATACAAATGAATATAATGTAATATAAATATATTGATGTTTAAAATTATCAGCTGTTTATAATTAAGTAACTAAGCAAATGAAAGTTTACTTAGAAAACCTATTAGTTCAAAATTGATTGCCTTTTACAAATTAATACTATTTAGCGTGTTTATTTTGTTATACGTTAGTGCATTCTTGTATGAAGTAATTTATTATGATCTACAAAGTCAACTAAATCAAAGATTTGGTTGTAATTCTTTGATTAAGCTGAATAGATTTCGTGAAATTGAATTCTAACTCAACAAATCAATGATATCGTGTTCATAATGAACTCTGAGGATTTAAACATTAAAACCTTAAATTGAAGTTATGTGTGTATGTACTAATGAGAAGTCTTGTATTAGGACAAAAACACTGTCCAGTCGTGCTAGCCTCCTAATAATTCTTAAATTAATTTGTAGTCACTATCATGGACAGCTGACAGACACATTCCAAGTAAGGACCGGAGTCAGACAAGACTGTCTACTCTCTCCCTTCCTCTTTCTTCTGGTGGTCGACTGGATTATGAAGACTTCGACATCTGAGGGAAGACACGGCATACAATGGACAGCTCAGAACCAATTTGACGATTTGGACTTCACAGATGACCTAGCCCTCCTATCCAATACACACGAACAAATGCAGATAAAGACAGCCAGCATAGCAGCAGTCTCTGCATCAGTAGGCCTCAAAATACACAAAGGGAAAACCAAGGTCCTCAAACACAACACGGAGAACAGCAGTCAAATAACTTTTGATGGCGAAACTCTAGAAGATATAGAATCCTTCACATACCTGGGAAGCATCATCGATGAAGAAGGAGGTTCAGATGCAGACGTAAAGGCGAGGATTGGCAAAGCAAGGACCACATTCCTTCAATTGACGAACATATGGAACTCAAAACAACTTTCAACCAATATCAAATTCAGAATCTTCAATACGAACGTCTAGACAGTTCTACTGTACGGGGCTGAAACTTGGAGAACTACAACAACAACCATCAAGAAGGTACAAGTATTTATCAATAGCTGTCTACGCAAGATACTCAACATCCATTGGCCGGATACCATCAGCAACAGTCTTTTGTGGGAGAGAACAAACCAGCTTCCAACTGAAGAGGAAATTAGGAAAAGACGATGGAAATGGATAGGACATACATTACACAAATCATCAAACTGCACCACGAGATAAGCCCTAACTTGGAGTCCTGAAGGGAAGAGGAAAAAAGGAAAGCCAAAGAACACATTACGTCGGGAAATAGAAGCGGATATGAAAGGAATGAATAAGAACTGGAAAGAGCTGGAAAGGATTGCCCAGGACAGGGTTGGATGGAGAATGCTGGTAAGCGGCCTATGCTCCTTCACGAGGAGTAACAGACGAAAGTAAGTCAGTATCAAAATTACGTAAACGACATATTCTTTGTTTTAGAATCAAATAAATCATATAGTAAAAACTGCTTAGTATTTTACACAGAATTTATGTTTCCAGCATTGCGTATGAGATTTAAATTCGGTAGATGAGATCTTACGAAATCTACATGATATGTGATTATATATTCTTTCGTTCGGTTTTTGAAATGTAACTGGAAATGAACAGAATGTTTAAATTTTCGTAGCGTTAAAAACCTACATTCAGTATATTCTAGTGAGGTATTTTTAAATGTAAATCGTTTACTGGATATTTTCTAAAGCACCTATTTCTTTTCATATTGTATTTAGACTAGAGTTGCGTTAATCGAATTGGTTTCATCTGTTAAACAAAACTAAATCCCTGAAATATATTTCTCCTTGAAGTCAGCTACCAGATCGACGAGATTTTTTGACATTGTGACATCGGATGAACTTCCGTCTAATATGTAAATATGTATACTTCAGAAGATATATACAAGTTTGTGTACTAGGCTATTCGTCACAATTATTATAGAAAAGCCAATGATGCTAGCTAGCTGCCAGAGTTTTAGTGAGCGAAGCAAAAGTCAAATATGTAACTTGATGATTAGTTGCCCAAGTTGAATGGTTAAACAAAGACAGTAATATGTCAGAAGAAGTAATTGAACACCAGGGTTATCTTTATATGGAATGCATATATATGTATATACACCTGCATATGAAATTTTAAGATATTTTATACAAAATAAAATCTGATATGTATTACGAGGTCCAATTATATTAAATTGATAGTTTCAATATCAAATTCAACGTTAACAGAACAAGCTGTGAAAAATTCTTATAATTGACTTTTATTTAAAGTATGTACTGATGATGTCAGACAAAAGCAACAACAGTGAAAGCTTCACTATCAAACCATCAAGTTCACAAAACACAATATCTTCGAAAAAGTGTGTTGTGCATACACTTAGTTTATAGGTATGAAAGGTTATATTTACAATTTGTATGATAATGAGAATATTGTCCAGTGTTATTAAGAGCTACCTGGACATCAAATTCGCACTTTACAAACAGTAAAAATATATACTGATAACAGAAATCGAGTACAATTTAATTATTCTAAAGAGCTCAGTAGATAAGAATATCTTATTTTAAAGTAGAATAAATGTACTAACAAGATAATTGTGAATTAACTTAGTAATATGTATTTAATGATGAGTTAGATTTATGTGTCACCCACATATTTTAACCGCAATCAACAACCTACTTATGTTATGAAAAAAGTTTTGAGCAGTAATAATGTGAGAATAATTTCAAAAAGCAAAAAGCATATATCAATACAGCGAAAGTGACATGCCTAACAGAATAAGGACATATACTTTGAATGAAAGAAAAATTTAATAATACTATAACACTAGCTTGAATTCAACTCATTTAGCTGTGTTATAGTATGCAGAAAGCATTTTAAAAGATTTGCCCGAGAAGATGCAAGCGGAAAAAATGTACACGGTGAATTTGAATATACAAGCACAAGTATAACGTCTTAAACGTAAAAGAATAGAAAAAAAGTAGTTGAAGTACACAACTTATTCATGTTGAACACTATAGAAAAATACACAAAGCAAAAATCGATAAAGTTGTACACATACATATACATATACTTACAAACGCACACACACTTACTTTTTCGACTTGCACTGTCTATTTAGTATTAAACGCAGAAAAATCAAGTTAGGATTAAAGGGAAAATAGTGTAGATAATGATCTCTCAGTAGTAGATAAGTTCACGTAAAATTGCACCATGAATCAAGATGATCTATTCTACAACTACCATATTCAGTGAACGAAAAAAGGTTCAAAGCAATTCGTAAGTACTAACCAGAAAGTTTGCTACTATTGTGAGCCACTTTTAACCGAGAAGTACGGAGTTCAAACTTAAAACCTAACTGTTGAATGTCAAATATTGTATTCGTTGGATTACCATTTGACTAGACTGTTCAGTAATGAAATAGAAAAGCTTAGAGCTCTTCCGGGGTTACTATCGATCCTAAGCCAAGATAAACGAGGAGGGTTGGAGACGGGGTTAGTAACCTCAACCCGCAGAAAGCGTTGTTAAAAACGCAAACCAGAAAAAAGGATTCAAACAGTAGACAGAGTGATACAGTTATACTACTGTGGGTTTGTACACGCTTGCCGGAGTTGGTGTTACTTCAAGAGTAATGTTTTTAGATTGGATCTTTGAAGATATAACACTGTTACTAAGTATGTAACGATTAATGATAGAAATAGAAACTGGAAATATGAAAATTATAATTTCAGGTTGGTTTGTTTTAAAAAAGAACATTATGTAGTAAAGCATCATTATTCACTACCCAGTGCTCAATTATATACTACGAAAGATGTGAAATAATTGGATTTCCTTTTCCAAAATAGCTTTTAATGCATAACAATTGTTTTCAAGCTAAATGTTTACTATTCAACAAAATATATCATTTAGGATTGTAAAAAAGACAACTATTCATCATCATTACACAATTACGAAATAATAAGTTGGTTTTCATATTTCCCACACAAAACTTACTCATTTCTATTATACCATCAATAAATTCAGCTCTTGTAAGTCGACCATCTCGGTCACGATCTTTACGATGAAATAAATCAATAACACGTGCTTTATTTGTACTTAACCATGAAACATAACGTTGACGCCATGATTCAAAATGAAAATTTTTCATTTTTTCCACTTCATTCAAATAAGCTAAACGTTCATTTAATTGGGATTTACGTGTTAACATTGCAATCCATAATTCTCTCCAATTTAAATATAATTGATTAATATTCGGTGAAGTGAAAACTGATATAGATGGATTATGTTCTTGATTTGCTGTATTAATAGAACGGTTGAATAGATTACCACTAGATCGTATTGGTAAACGACTTCGGCGATTATTATTATTAATATTATGAGATGATTTAACTGGTGTACGGCGTTTAGCATGTTTTATAATATTTTCATAAATAGGTTGTTTTTGTCTCACTTCTTCTTCTAAATGACTATGTAGATTGAGTAATTGTTCAATGATTTTTGAATTGGTTATTTCATTTAAAACTGTTGTAAAGTCAGTAAGAATTTCAGGTTGTTTTAAATCTTTACTATTTATACTACTATTACTATTGACAACAACATTAGGTTGACGAACTAAAGAAGTTATAGATGACATAGCAATACGTTCTTGAGTTATGGAAAATAAGTCTTTGGAGTCTATTGACTTTGAATCATTTGAGTCTAGTTTACTCTTAGCTGATTGTAGATTAGTCGATGAAGATGACAATGATGACATCGGTATTGATGTTGGAATAGTTTTTAATTCACCAGTTTTTACATGGATCCATTGCATGAGTTCTTCACGTTGAAGTTTACGTTTATTCTGTTCTTCTAAAGCTTCTTGCAAACGTTCTCCGCGTTGTTCCGACCATGAAGTTAACTGGGTAAATTTTTTGTTTAGGAAAAAATTAATGAATAATAATTAATAAAATTAACTTAAATGCAATTAAACATACTTGTTGAATTAGCTTATGAACACATCTACGTTAGTATTGCAAAACAAAATCACGAGGGAATGGAGGACGATCCTCTCCTTTAGTCCGTCTTTCATTAAAGTTGGTCATCTTATCCATTTAGATTGTGAGTTCGATACTCATAGTCACAATATTTAAAGTTTTTAGAAACGAATTTATTTTAGTTGAAATAATTAAGTACAAAATGATTCGTACCCAAAAGCATTATTATTTAAAATTATAAATCCTTTACTTTACAAGCTTGAATCAGTTTCCGCCTAATTTGGTTTGAATCATCGAAGTGTCACTTGAAGGCTACAACTCAAAGTTCAGTAAGCGAGTCTTCATTTCACTGTTGTAAAGGGTTAGTTTACTAGGTCAATCTAATTGACAAGAAGGCATAGTTTTTCGAAACAACTTATAAACTGGTTATTATAATTCAGAACATAAATATGACAAGATAATCAGCAAATAAGTAACAGGTTACAGATATACTGAAACTAGGCTTCAATTATTCAATTGCCAATTAATTAAACTTGTAACACTAAAGAAACTAGCTAACATTTTATTGAACGAGCAACATAAAAATACTTAATACATCAAATACAATAAAATTATATAACTTCATAAAACTAACAATGGAATTATATGTAATTAACTAATTCTAGTGTTACTTTCTACTTTTTTATCGACAATATTCTAGCAATAGTTTTGAGGGGAATGTGTAGGGAAAGTAGCGACATCGAAAACAGGAATAAAGGTATCTTATTTTATAATGAAATATAAAACCATTTATTTAATAAGAGGTCAGCCTGTAAATGTTCAATGTCGTTAAGTAGGATATTTATTACATACCACTCAAATGTAAATTACTATTCAGAATTCAGTCCTAACGTAGCACTTGGTATACATGTACAACGAGATCAAAACGTTAAGGCGGATCGAAGAGTACTAGAGGTATTACCAGTATTAGTGGTAATAAAAAAAGTTAGTCATTAGAGAAAAAAGTAAATTGATGAAATAAAATTATGGGGAATTGAGAAGCTTAAAATCTGGGAGAAGACAAAAAATGAATGCGCCATTGAGAACGGTTTCGAGCCATGTTATTCAGTCTTTAACCACCGGTTAGGGTAATCACGCGGATCTTAACCAGGTAGTGCATACTTATTAAGGTGGTTCAGTTCAGTTATCGTTGATTTTATGGAAACCAATGCATCTATTGATCCTTGGTGCTTATTAATCAAAGATTAAAGCCAGCGACTGTCACGCTACAGTTTTTTTGCGATACATAAAAAACTAATGGGAACTCAGGATGGCTATCTATGCTTATTTCATGTATTTTGGTGAGATATAATATCCCTTACTCTTCTTCGGTTTATTATGTTAAACGCATTCTTTTATACATCACAAAAATGCATCAAGTCTACACTGTAAATGGAAACGATAATAATAATAATAGCTATATGTACAGTACGCATACCTCCTCCCATCGTGTACGAATAGTATTTACCCATTGACGTAAACGTTTCACAGCTGCTGGATGAGCTTGAGATAAAAGTTTATTGCCTAAGTGTAAAGCAGCTTCAACTCGATCAGTTTGATTCATTAAATTAGAATGTGTTTGCCGATGAGCTGTTATTGCATCTGTTAAATTAGTTGGTGGATTGTTAGTGCCAGAAGTTTCAATTTCTAGTTCACCATCATCATCGAAGGTGGGTAAAGCAGCCAAACGATGAATAACACGTTCTGCGCCAGCAAAATAATCCATTAAACTTCGACATGTATCCTGAAATTGCTGCGCCTGTAAATAAAGACAATAGTATTTGTGAAATGTATCTATTTGAGAGGATGTTGATAACGTAAGTCAGTAATAAAATGTAAGTTAACGTAGTTGGCTTTAAGATACAATTTTTCAAAGAGGACTGAAAATCTACCAAGCTTCTCAAACTGATGTGCGCGCGTTGAGTCTTCAACGTGTGAATTAATGATTACAAGTTAAGTGCCTCAACTACCTAATATTTAATATTTCACTATACAATTCGTAACCTAGAATGCTATAAGTAATCTAAAATACTGTGCAATGAAGATGCGTTTATCTGACAAGGTAATAAAGTTGCATGACAAAAATACGTAATTTGAATTAAATAACCTCGAAAATTTGAACAATTTAAAAACGGTTTCTTAATCAGAAACAAGCACGTATTTGAAACTAAGGTGTACTTGTTGCGTCGTGTTCTATGTTAAGCCCATATAATTTATTCTAACTTGCAGATAGACCAATTTATTCGTTGTTTTTGAGTCGTATTTTGACCTCAGAATTATTCGCTTATCGACCTTGACTGTTTTTGTGTAAACGTGTATGCAGTTCTTATCCTACTATATATCGCTATCATTCTTTAGCGTCTGAAACAATGGATGATACTTTGTAGACGCCAATCTTTAGCAATGGTAGCAAATCAGGCAGAATATGAAACTGGAGAGCGATGATTGACAATAAGAATAGACGAAAATATAAGAAACGGAGAAGAGAAAGAGATTGACAGTTTAACCTGTACCAAATCGTCGAGGGCCACACAGAAGTTCGCTATTTGTTAAAAAAGGCTAGCCCGCCTCTCTGCTTCCAGGATGTCGACATCACTGGACACGTGAGTTATCCACCGAGGAACGACTTACTACTCCAGCATTATGGCAAAGTTCAAAGAACAATCTTGTCCTCAAAACTGAAACATTCTGGCTTTGGTCAAGACATCCTTTATCTAGTATGTTTGTAATGATAGGATCTGATGGAACAAGTGTTGTATTTAATATATCTGGAGATCGTCGAGTTAAGGTAATAGCTACGGTTGGGATTCGCTACTACTTGCGAGGTTTGAGATGTTATAGACCTAATACGATACATCTCACGTATAAAGTGAACTTGAGATTAAGTATGAAATAATGAGTCGGCAAAAGTGCATGAAACTGAAAAGTGGAATACGTAACACAGAAGATGTGTTTTTCATGACTGGTTTTATGATTCGAACCCTCAGAGACAGCTGAGCTGATTGGGAGTTCTTAAAAGTCCACCTAAGCGGAAATATCTATTGATAATTATTCAATACTGGTGACATCATGATTACACTGGATCTCGTGACAAGCTACTATACAAACATAGTACAGTCACGATTATTATAAACAAACAACTCTAAGATGTATTCCAGTAAACGGAAATATTTTGGAATAATGTATGAAATTCCTAACCATCCATGACTTTTGCATTGATAGATTATGTGATAACCAATTAAAATAAATTGTGAAGTAGGTTAAGATCATTAGAAAATATTTGCATACCAGTTAACGCAAATATTACAAGGTGTTTACTCAAATATTACCATTTTTAATGCTTGATCCAATCGTTCACTACGACGTTGAGTTAAAATCTGTACACGATCCCATATCTTAGATAAATGATTTAATTGAGCTTGCATAGCAAACACATCAGCTTGATTACTAGCTGGTGAACCAGCTCCAGAGTCAGTAGTAGATGAAGCTTTATTCATCAAATCACTGGCAGCTTGATGTATTAATTTCACAGATGTGGCATGTTGTTCCAGCTCAGCTTTGAAACGATTATGAGATTCTAACAATTGCTGAAATACGAAACAGATAATTTACATTTTTATCCGTATAATAGGGTTTTATAGGAAACTAATGTTTAAATTACAGAAAATGTGACCTAGTTGAATCAATTTTAAACAATAGCCGTGTATGTAGTCAATTTAGTCATCAACCCAACACATGAATTAGTAATCACCAACAAGGCTAAGTGAAACCTTGAAGAAGAGGTTACACAACTTGTCAGTGAAGTGAAAAAATTAGCATCGATCAAATCCATGGGCACATAAGTTACTTAATAGCATGGTTGGATCATAACCAATGAACTGGATAAGTTGGTATTAGTTAAACAACAACTGATAAATAGCCAAAAAAGTTCAGTAAAGTTAGCTCAAAACTTTTCAATACTGTTCACAGTCGATCTCCTCTAAAGATAAGATACAAATCAATAATTATAATGAAGAAGTGGCTAACCTCGACAATATCCACATCACCATAGTTTCCAGTTTGTTGTTCAGCCAATTGTGGTTCAATCTTACTTAACCAATCAAGTAAAGCTTCCAATGCTTCTTTATAAAGACCAGCTGCCAAAAGAGCTTGTTCTAAAGTGCGTTGTCTAAAAGAGAAGGGAAAAAATGGATATGACATATATGTCTATAGTGAAAATCAATGTTCCAAATAATGTCAAGTCAGTTAATTGGATAGAATTCGTAAGTTTATATTTTCCACTATTCAGTCACTTTTTAATGCGGTTTAAAATGACCGTGCAATGCTCTGTAACTAATTTAATTTTGCTAGCTTTAAATCAAGCCGTTATTCGTTTATATTTCTGAAATCCAGATACATAAGACTAAATCATGAGTCACTTGTTATCCCAGCAGTTCAAAATAAGGTCAGGAGTTTTAAAGTTCTACTCATCCTATATAGTATACAATAAATGAAGACTAAATTATGAGCTCATTAAACATTTGCCACGAGGCTTGAGGATTCTGGGTTCGCTTTCCGTTGGATTTGTGGGTGTGCACTCCCGAGAAGTTCCATAAAAAGACGAAACAGCTGTTCAGTGATCCTCGACTTCTAACAATCATCTAACTAGGGTCAGTTATATAGAGAGCCAATCAGAAGTGGAAACAAAGGTCACACGATGGCAACCGAAAGTGACCCAAAGGTCAAATGCATTTCAGTGGGGTCAATGGGTCAATCTTCTAAAGATAGAGTGGTATAAGAATGAGTAGTTGGGTATTTCATTCGGTATTCCAATACACTTTCTCACTCACTCATGTGTCCTCGCTCAAGTAGTCAGTTGGGGGGGGGGTTAGCATATAGCATATCCTGTATCAGTATCAGATTTCGGACACCACACACCACAAGTCAGTTTATGATTTATATTACAAAAATACATCTATTGAGTGCCTCGCGAGATTATTGTCTAAACCTAAAATAGTCAATATTTTTATTCCGGAAATTTTAAATCGATAAACTCTTAGCACTATTAAGTTTATTACAAGCTTTTAACAACTTGGTAAAAATCTATACGAAAAACGAATTAGACAAGCTTGAATGGCCCAAACAACCGTTTAGGAAAAAGCACTACTTACCCATAAATTACAGTAATGTTGCATCGAAAAATCAATAGATGTACCATAAAATTGAAAACAGTATTTGCTTTAAAGTGGCTAAACGAAAAAAACTGTTCAGTAACGCACAGTTGTGTGCAATTAAAAGTATCTTCAAAGTAAGCAAATTTTTACAAATCAACTCACTGTGTATATGCCGTTTGTTTCAAATAATATGAACTGTTAAGTCTCAAAGATTACTAAATCATTCTAAATTTATCATATTTCTATTAAATCATACAAGGTCATTAATGAACTTGATTCTTTCTCTCGCCTTAGTTCACCAACATATATGGCCTTTCATTTTTGGATTTCCTTGTAACAATTGTTGTTGTAATACCATATCGCGAAGACTAAAGCAATGAATAGTTACATAGACTATTTGAGATGATCATGACTTTTGCTGACGAAAATCAAACTTAAAAGCATGGTCATCGGACAACTGACCCAGTCCTCCACTGACTAAACTGCTACGCCTTACAGCTAAATAGATATCAGTTTCATTTTATTTATAGAGTGCTGTTCTTGCATTCTATGTAAACGGATGATATACACTTGTCAGCACCTAATTTTTTAGCTATCTAGTCAAGTTCTTTCGACTCCAGTCCTCTAGTTACTCCAGAGAGTAGAAGATCGAATACTGCTGAAACTAGTTTCAAACATTGACAGTGAATATAATATGTGGAATATAACAATCATAATGAATGCATAAATTATGAATGAGAAATTTTGTATTGCTTGTTAAAAACAAGTTTATAAAGACTGACGGTACGAATAAGTTCATCCGAATTCATGATTAAAGTATGAGTTTCAGTTATAGTTATACATGATATTTAATACAAGATTAGAGATTATGAAATTGAGATGGTGGAGATTATGAAATTACCTGGCTAAGGCTTTCGTACAAACTGCTTGCCACAAATGCTTTAATTCACTGACCATATCATCTAACTCATCATGATCACATACTGGTGCTCTATCACGTAGTTGTCTAGCGTAACGACGCACTCCATCATAAGCCACAGTACGTGTGCTTAATGCTCGCTGTAATTCACGATGTAATGCTAATTGATAAGCGACTTTCTCAGGTCTTGTAGCGACACGATCACCATCTTCCTCCAGTGAAGCTAACTGTTCCTTTAACCAATCTGTTAACGATGTCCAATTATCCAGAAAGTTACTGGCCTCCTAAAAATTAATCGAAAAGATCATGTCACCTTTAATTACAATATCAAATCATTCGTCCGTTATTTAAATGTTCCAGCATTATGAGCAAAATTAGCCAATCAATCTAAAACTTACCAGAACATTTAAACTTTATGATGCTTTTATATAACAGTTAGTCAACTCATTAATTTTGCCAATACTTTGATCCATTCTTTTCTTTTTGTTCAAAGAGGTCGAATAGTTCAAACCGTCATATGCTGTTATTATTAATTTCGGTTAAAGTATCTACGTTTTCTTAATTGTATTTCACACTATAAAAAGCCAATTAGCTGGATAAAGAATCCCATAGTTAAGAATCACTCATCAATCTCTACAGCACTGTGACTACTACTTAAACAGTAAAATTTTTACAAGTTTACGTGACATGAATGTAGAGTGATTCAGTCAGTAAAAAGCAATATAAGGTCGGAAATAAACGTGTTCGTGTACTCAACTTTGGAAAGCACTTCTATTTGGGAATCAGTAATACTAAGAGGATTGTCTAAATCAAAGTATATCAAGAGAATTTCAATTCTGGTGAATAATTCATGGAATTCAAGTCCCCTAACCAATGTGCATACGTGTCAACAAAATTGCCAAAGGTAAGGAACTATACAACACATTGTAATTTTCTGAGTTTCAAGTTAGGCTCGTAAATGAAGATAAACAGTGAACATGTGATGTGACAGTAAGATACATACAACATTACCTAGAAAAAGAAACCGGGGCTTGTTTTACATAAGAAAAAAGAGAGCACTCATTCAGACGACTGAGAAAATTCATTGTCTTTTTTTTCATCCTGGATATCTAAAATGAATCATGTGAACAAAATACTCCTTTATATTTGTCAAGAAATATTTACCGCACTGACTATCATCCATTTATTTGCAAAGAAATAATATGCAGTAGACAAAACGATTTTTACAGGGAATAGACTGTTCAGAAAGTAAAAGAATTACTATGGTGTTTTGGAAGAAAGCGAAGAACAACAAACTAACCTTTAGACCAGTGTTAAGTTGACGTGTACGTTCTGCACTACGTGAAACTAATTGCTCCCATCTAGTATGAATACTAGATAAAAGATTTTTTACCAATATTACATCTTGTTTTTGTGATTGACATTGTATTTGACTTGCTAAACGATCTAAATTAATTAAAGCATCACGATGTCCAGTAATTTCTTTACGTAATTCAGTGTGATCACGTATTAATTGGAATAGGCGAGCTACAATACGACTGACTGGTTTCTGTTGTAGTATAGTACGTTCCATTTGTGTAAGCCATTGCATCATTTGTGATAAATGGTCATGTAATTCTTCGACTTGTTTTAAACCCAATTCCATACGGTCACGAATTTCTTGAGCATGTTTTAACAACTGAGCATAATGTTCAGAGAAACGTTCAAGATTAGTAGTTAACTGATTACATGATTCTGCTGCAGACTGATTAACTAACAAAGCAGCTGAATTTCGACGCATTTCATCAAGCTGTTTACGTAGGGAAAAAGAATAATAAAGCACGAGTTAAGCATGCATAAATATATAGCAACTACCTTACAATTAATTTCGATTATGGTTAATTTTGGTTAATCCCTTTTATTAACTTAACAGACAATGTTATTAGAACAGTAACAATTCGCATATTTCTTTGTACTACTATGATCACTATCATATATGTGTAAGCATGTACTCTTGATTATATGACAGCCTCCTCACATCTCTCTCTAGCTTAAATGTTGATAGCTTAAATATCGCCCGATGATTTACTGTCTTCTTCATATATATATATATATATATATATATATATATATATATATATATATATATAAATTTGCCTCTGTATTTGTTCACATTCGCCTTTTTCCCTCAAATTCGCTCGATATGTTTATAGCTTTGTTATCCGTGCTATCCGCTAATAAACTGTAGTTGCCACTTCTTATTGCCTTCTGATTTCAAACACCGTGGGACTTATATAATAACGGTGATTTATTAACGATGCAAAGCCACTACAAATAAAATGGAGTAATTACTATTGTCTACAATAAGCATATGACAAATATTTGAGGTAAAGACTCTATTTACCTCTGATCCAATTTTTACAAGTTCATCATAAACTTCCATGAAGCGACGTAACTGTTCACGTGCACTATCTGGTAAACCACCCATAATGCGTGCACCTGGTTGGGGCATCCGACTCCTTAACTGTCGAGTGCGACGTATAAGTTGATCCAGTTGACCATGAAAACTAAAGGTCTACAAAATAAAAAGATTTGGGATCATTTAAAATATTGATGTCTGTTAGAAAACTGCACAAGTTGTACCGTAAGACTTAAACATGTTTGTTTCATGCAGTTAATTTGTAAGGTCAAATTTACTGCATTTTATTTCATTGCCTTCTTCTGGCTTCTACTATACAGTTAAAAGTTGTGTCTCCTACCCATCTTTATTTTGTCATCGTTAAAGTAATAAAAACGTAGCTTGTGATATTTTTCAACAATTTACTTCCAAGGTAGAGTGTCATCAATTATAGACAACGTGTAACCCTACATGTAATGTACATTAGTAATAATTCTCTTTTACTTAAACTGATATGAATTAGTCATAAGCAGTTACTGCTTTGAGTGAAACAGGTTATTTAAAAAAGCTATCTGTACAGATCCTCATACCTCACTCAGTGCTTCTTCTAATGCTGCTTGTTTATTGCGTACACTTAGTTTCAAATGTTCCCATGCTTTATTCATTTGAATAATTTTATCTCGGATATCTGATGTTTTTAAATCTGAAGTCTTTGATTTTCTTTTGACATCTTTATTAGTATCTATTCCAGAGAATTTGTCGATTTTGTTGCAATCAGCACGTTCTAATTTCCTTGCTTGTTCTTCTATTCTTACAACAGCTAGTTGATGACTGTTAATATTGTGGTGAATTACCTTAGTGACAAAGTAAGAGAGAGAAAAATAATTAACCAAAAAAATTATAAAACTTCATAACTCATAAATAATAAACATTATTAGGCAAAAATTCAGACTTGATCACTTTAACTTCTGCAATGAAATCAACTTAAGTTGTTAGCATTGTAAACTGAGATCGCAATAACTGAGTGAGACTAAAAATATACTTAGATGATGAATGTAAATAAGAATGAAAAGTTGATCAAGTGCATACTATTGATTATCTTTAAATCTTCAGGCTAAAACGTTCTACCCATACAGAAACTTTAATGGTTGAATTCATGAGTCGATTTAAGCTAGACCACCATGGAAAACCTGGAAGAACTGGACGTATGTTTTGCCCTTAAATGGGACTCCTCAGCAATGTGCGTGCGGGATAGTGGGTGCGCACTGTTGAGGAGTCCCATACAAGGACGAGACGTTCGTCCAGTTCTTCCAGGTTTTCCATTGTGGTCTAGATTAAATCGACTCATGGATTCAACCCTTAAATTACTACAATCTGCACAAACCCACATACAGAAACGTTACATTTTGGTAACTATAATTAAATAAGTTTAGTAGTGTTTATGGTATTTTAACAGCTTTTATGTTATTAAACGCCTACATGACTTATCCCAACTTCTGAACAGACTTTATTAACTCAGATATTATTTGACTACTGGATCATTTTTGCCTTCTTACTAACTCTATTATCTTCATAGGAAATTATGACTTTCACTACCTGTACTTCATAGATTAATGTCCTTGTAAATCTATACCTATACATCTCATATATGCTCGTGTGTATCTGTACTCGTATTTCTTTGTCTAATGCCTGTCTCCTTATTGCATTATGCATTATCTACTGTTATATTTACGTTTATAATGAGTAATATTTCAAGTAGATCTATTTTCTCCACTTTTTATCTTTTCGTCTGTCTCCCGAATATATTAGCGGGACTTGTCGATATAACATACACGAAATTAAGTAAGATGTGTTTCAATAACATCAAGGTCATTCGATCTTTATGCAGTCAACAACAGGCACTAAAGCATAATGCTATGATTAGGCATTATTATTTTATAAATAAGGTATACTGAATTATTAATCGTTTAGTTACATAACCAAATAAAGTACTCTTCCAGAAGCTTTTATGCTTAGATATATTTTATGTTAACCTTTTCATGGGTATCATTCAGTGTTGTCCTACTTATAAAGAAGTTATACAATGTGACGTTGAGAAGAGTTAAAATAACATCACACCATATAAGCAAACACATATTTTAAAGTAAAGAATATTTAGTTAACACATATAGAGCATACGCCAGCTTCTGGAAGAATATCTGACCCAAAAGGATATTTGACTAATAGTCCATAACAACGTAGTCCAATTCCTTAGCGAGTTCCTATACGTTCTGTATTATTGTAAATCAGATTTGCGTTTTTGAATTATAAACAGATATTATGTTGTATAACTTATAATCTACGTGTGTAATAAAATGAGTACTGAAAACAGTCTTGGTAGTGTGAAAGTATGGAATAGTGTTTCACAATTCGTTAACAGCATCCCTTGTTAATTTGAGAAAAAAAGTTCTTTTCTTTGCACTTAAAGTAGGGTCAATAAATATAACTACTTGTAAGTACTGTAGATATACTTAAGAACTTTTCAGGGAGTCGTTCACAATCCGAGATTTACGTAACAATCGTATGGAGTAACTTATAAGTCTACGAAACTGGTAAATGAATATGGCACATTCAAAACTTATTACTTCATTTCCATTTTCAGTATCGATACGATTTAGGACCATAACATTATACTGATAGCGTGTAATAAGTTTGACAAATAACTGTTTAATTATGGGTAGTTATGGCCAAAATAATAATTGTGATTATTATTCATGCCAGTTTTTATATCCACAACCACATGAAACATAAAAGAATATACATGAACACACACAAAAATAGACACATATTAACACCACATCCCACATAGAGTAAATTATGCAACATCCAAGTGATATCACACAAAATAAAGAAAATAATGTGAGAAAGGTAGAAAATGGGAGAAATGTGAGAAATGATGAGTTATTTGAGGTTAAAAAGACATTTAATCAAAATTAAATATTTATGAAACATATTTCTCGCAAAATCAGAAATTCTAACTGGTTTTTAACTGAATTCTAGACTTAAATATATGGAGATAAAGATGTTAAATCTGTAGATTAAACTAATGGGGAATACTGGAATCGTAAATTTATTCTTGTTAGAATTGTTTCACTTTACGAACCTTGTGCTTTAGAAGTATTTCGAAACTTCACCATTAACTCTGGTATCTACTTCTCTTAACACGAAGATTTTTACACGAAAAGGCTACTCAATAGTATTGAGTTTAAATTCGTTCATTTCAAAAGTCTGATAAGGTCATAACACTTGAAAAAACCCAGTCATTTCTGTATTAAAAATTAGTATCATCAACTATTCGTTCACATAGGTTCATATAGAATTTTAATGGTTGATTAAACATTCAGGAAATTCCAACTCAGATGGTAGAATCCATTATTTGACCGGATCAAGATAATATTATCAATGTGGGATTTTTTTCTTACCATAATTGCATATTACTGTATAGAGATTCTACATTTAAAATATTAAGATATATACTATTAAGTCCCGCATCTTTTAAGAAATTCCTGTTTATAATATTCAAGAGTAATCTGGATATTTCTATTATGATGAATTGAGAAAATAACATGGGCAAATATTTTATACAGTTTCTTGTCAGGCTTTACATTGCAATCAACTATATAGGCAATTCAAAGATTCATGTATAATCATTGTCAGCATAATTATTTTCTAATTCATGTATTATAATTTTGTTGATCATCAAAACAGTTTGAATGATCAAAGTGGTTAGTTTTATTTTTAATTGTAAAACATAAAGAAAATTGACTGAATTTAGATATTCGAGAATGATTTGAGAAATATAAATGAATTCCAGAAGACATTTTCCAAGTTAGACCATCATGGGAAACCTGGAAGTACTGAACGACCGTTTCGTCCTAGTGCGGGACTCTTTAGCAGTGCTCACCCACGACCCCGCTCGCGGGATTCAAACTCAGGGCATTTAGTATCGCGCGCAAACACAACCTACTGACCACTGAGCCACGAAATTGAGAGGACAAAAAGCGAATGTCCGGCGCTTTAAGCGGGTTGGTGGACACGGAGAGTCCACCTAGAGGAGTTGAAAAACCCTCATTCCAAACCAATGGTGCACATGGACCCCAGTATCCTGAGGGAACAAATTGCGTATGAACCAATCGTTGGTCACCGGCTACCATGGGACTGCATCTCCTTACGATGCTCCACTGTCTTGTGGATTAGACCTTCAGATCGAAGGCTCCGGGTGTGACCCCATAAGAAAACCATTTTCTTCGGTTTGGGCACCCGGGCAGTATCACAGCCCTCATACAAATCAAATGAGATTTGTGTGGTGCATGTGTATTTGGTGCCTCCTTGTACCAATATCTATGTGTTTAAATAAATAATTAAATAAACAAATAATAAATTTTATAAGTTAAGCAGATTGTTTAAGTAATATGTATATTCGAGTAATATCCATTTTTACAAAAAAGAATTAACAAGAACTGTCAACTAGATATTTGTATTATCTAAGCATATTGAGTAGTGTAATAACCCATTTGTTATAAAGAAGCCGTTTTATTCAAAAAAAGAGATTGGTATAAATAGTAGTTAAATAAAGTGTTAATGAGAATTAAAATCACTATTGACTAAGGAAATTATAATGATTTTCAAGTCATAAACACTTTACTATAATTAATATAAGCTTATAAGATTTATAGCACTAGCGTTTCTATCCCCTTCATTCATCATACTATCAATATAGCAAAATAAATAAAAGTATGGTGAAATATTTACTACAAAATGGTTATCGATCTCAAGAAACAAATGACTTACTTTAATACGTGCTAAATCAGCTTCTAATCCTCGAATATTTGCTCGACGTATAGGTATTTGATCTACAGCTGTTTGCATTTGATCAATCCATTCAGTTAATCCATCAATAGCACTTTCAAATTCACCTAAACCAAGCAGAACAGTTTGTAAACGATGACGTCTACTATTGCCGGAATCTAATAAATTGTCCCATCGTCGATTAGCTACAGTTAAATCAGATTGTAATGATGTAGTATTTTGTACTGGAAATGTTCCGTCATCGCCTGTTTAAAAAATGTGTAAAATGGGATAAAATGTAATGAGCATGTAATCTGTATGGTAATTTATTGGATATAAAGTGTACAAATCGATAATTCACTTCCGAGTACAAATTTCATACAATTATCAGTCAGTCAGTCAGTTACAACGTAGGACCAGGCATATATGTGCATCGGTCCAAGTTGCCATACCGCATTAGCACAACAAGATGAACACCGGATCCATAGAAGTAGTTAATTCAGTGGTGGTAATATAGAGAAGAAAGATTGCATATAAGGAGATAGTACAGGAAGAAAGAATTAGTTCGTAGAAAGAAAGATATGATGCGATTTTAATCTCTTAGTTTAAAGGAAGACAGAGAGTGTATACACCTACGCCATTGTGATCGATTCTGAGCCATGTCACCAAGAGTCTACAACCATTGGTTACGATAGTCACGCGGACCCCAAACAGGTAGTCTGCATCTACCAATATGGCTCAGACCAGAAGTTTGTGACTTCAAGGACTGATGCCACGTTTTGTTTTGGCCGCGCCTCACTTTTGTCCAACTGTTTCCAACACTAGTCGTACAACTACCACATATTAATCAAACAATAACAAAATATTACTCCGCACATTATCAACAAGGTTGACAGAAGCATGAAAAGAATAGATTGTAGGGGCTGGTATTATGTTAAGTGCACATAGGTTATTCTAGCCTCTGGACAGACCGATATATTTATTTTTCTCAAGCCACATTTTTACCCTGTCACTTATTTGCTTATCAACTTTGACTGTTGTTATGTAAATGTACGTGCGTGAGTGAGTAGACTTACTCACCTTTGCTTTCCGATCAATGATCGTACAAAATATACTAACTCAAAAATTTATTCTCGTATTTCACTAACACGAGTTAAGTCGATAATTAAATGCGAGGATTGGCTGCATGTATAAGTCGATAACAGTCGGTCATACGATATAATTGGACTCAGACCACGGGCCACTAAAAGAGACCTGATCGTACTTCAAGGAAAGTCAGTGATGTTGACAATGCTATTGATAATGTACTGTTTGCATGACATGGGATTACAAACAATAAAACAGTTATATATAAACGATTATAGAACTTCAATAGTCATTAGACCAGAAGGGGAAAATGAAGCGGATGTCATAGTATTTTAATCATTCCTAAATCTGTAGCTACATTAGTGATGGCCCTGTATATGACTCCAATTCGACGTATGAATGATTGTCATTGAATTATACATCCCGGCTACCCTCGTATACAACCATCGACTTAACTCGCTTTAGTGAATAACGGAATTAAATAGCAAAATACGAGAATGAAGCTTGAATAAATATATTTCACACAATCGTTGATCTGAACGGACAATCAGAGACTGAATGAAGGAAGTGAAGAGGAAAGAGCAAAGCAAAACGGATCAGAGAAGGCATGTGAGCTAAATCGATTTAACCAAGTGTGAATCGATTTTTATAGTTAAACAAAAAATAAGTTACAGACATGTAATGAGTAAGATAAGAAATGCACACACATACGATCATACAGAAAATATTCAGGATTACTAAGCCAATAAGTGACAGGGTAAAAATGTGGCTTGAAGAGAATGAATAGATTGGTTTGTCCAGAGATTAGAATAACCTATGTGCGCTTGACATATTACCAATCTCCACAAGAGGACTCTAAATATCGTTGACCATAATCTTAATAATATAATACTGATTATTTTATGGTTGTGAATATGCTACTGATATTTCGTTTTGTTACTTTGCAAACTTATCATTTACCTTTAATAATAGAAAAGATTTGATTAATACTACGGATTTCCCCAACAAAACCACTTATTAATAGATATATGTTTGCTATATCCTAATGAGTAAAAATTGTATTTTCGACGTCTCGTGATTTAATGTAAACCACTTCTTCAGAGTAAACAAATAACCGACATTAAATGAACACAAGTTTAAATAGTACAAAGGAAACCACTTATTTAAAAGACAACAAAGTATATGATCTGAACCAGTCATAAGCAAAATTTTTAATTAATTTTTATTACTTGTATCATCCAAAGTAAAACGTTCATTATCTGTATTAGACATCAGTCTTCCAGCTAACCAATTTAATGCTTCTACTTCAGAATGTTTATTCATCAAATTATCATTCCATTGAACAATTTCATTTAATTGTTTCGTAACAATATCAACATTATTTGATATGGGCTGAAAATTATCCCATACATTTTCTTGTTCTGTTAACCATTTTATTAAATTTATTAAATCAGACTAGAATAAAAAGAAAGAAGATTGAAAAAAAAAATATATGTATACAATTCTTGCATCATTCGCGTGTTTTTTCCTATTTGATATATACTACTTTATTAACGCTTAAGTAACTAAGAATATACAATGAAATTTAAAGTGTATCTATTGTGCATAGACTTATTAATCTGGTAAAATTCAAGTAAAACACATGAATTGAATGTATAATATGATGCTAAGTTATAATAATTAAGATTTTCATGAAAATGGAAACTTTGTGTGGATGTATTTCAGATGTATGATTATTTACATAAGCCAAGGTAAATAGGTTTTGCTTAAAGTTTTATTGCTGAAAGTACCGACTTTTTATGGCACGGACTGGTACTTAGAGGGGGGGGGTAACATTTGTGAAGAAACCTTCGAAGAGTTACATCATTTGGACCCCTAATTTTAGGGGACCTCATTTTTATGTTCTGTCAGTAAATTTTAGAGGGCACTCACATTATTATATTTGTTAGTGTAATTACTCTCCAAAACAGAATGCATTATGATTGTGTCTACAGACAAGGATGTGTAGACTCTAAGGCATTGTATAGTCTGGAGTCTGAATTCGTGACTTGTACCAAAAAATATTTATTCTTTACAAAAAAGACCTCCAAATAATCTTGCAAATCTAAAATATCTACAAATTAATTTAGCGCTATCAATACATTCTATGCGATTGGCTGAAGTATTTCAAATTTCTTTAAACGATACCGCGCTTAAATTTAATTATCCGCGTTACAAATATCACATTTTCCACATTCACTAACACACACAAATACACACAACTAGATCTTACATAGAATAACCATGATCAAAATAACTTGATCATACCTATTTAATTTTAATTATACTAAAAATATTCTGTTTTGCTTTCTTTGTACTACTTAAAGTTGTGTTAATTTAATTTATTGCTTATTATTGTTATTCTATGAAGAATTGAGCTATTCTAAATCACGGAACGTCAGAAATTTAATTTTCCACTAATTGGCACTTAACAAATATATCATAGAAAACACTTACTTATGCCTGTTACCCCTCGTGGAGGAGCATAGGCTGTCGACTATTATAGGAAACAGGTGATGAATAATTTTAGCACTGGAAGTAAGAAATGAATGTTAGCAAGAATAACGTGTTGTTATGTAGATGTTCAACAGAATTTGGTTGATTCTTCATGTTTCCTAACGAGATGCACAAAGAATTAGCTGCAAGGTATGACAATGAAATCATATTTTAAAGTATCTACAGTTAGAGGACTTGAAATGTTATGATCGTTCTTCACAACAAATGAAAGCCTTGAATACTACGCATCATTTATAAAAATCGCCATTCAAAGTATTGCAGTCAGATGATCGATGAAACTAAGCTACTTGGCACAAATATGTAAGTAATAAGTTGACGAGAGTAGTTTACAGGCTATGTTAGGAAAGTGACTAAATTAGTTTAATAGTCTTCAAGACAATTAAATGCGAGGTTGAAGGAACGCAAACAATGTTTGAAAAATCCTCGGTTGACCTAAAGAAGCTTGAGTTGGCGATAGCGTTACATGAGTTGGAGGCAGGACACAAGATTAATTTTGAAGGGATCAAAATACTTCAGAATGGTTTTAACACTCATAAAGAAAGACTGACAGCAGAAGCGCTGTGTATATGTGCAGACAAGAACAGCCTGAACAGAAAGAATGCTATTTAACCACCAACTACTTGGCAAATATTCGTTAACAAGTAATTGGACCCTTTTTCTATCCAACCTATCGTTATTTTGACTGAAATTAATGCGGGTTATTTTAGCAATACAATTATGTATTTGATGATTTTCATTTTATATGCACATCGATGATTCAGAAACAATTTTTCAACCTTCAACTTTCACTTTTAGTTTTTCTTTATATAGAAACAAATTAACACCGAATATCAACTATTAATAACTCAATCTTACACAGACATACACACTCACATACACACAATTCATTCACTCATTTATTTTCACATCGTGAACTTTTCACATGATTCGCATTTAAGTGACACATGTTATCCTATTTACTGAAGTCAGCATCTAAAATTGATTGGATTAGTACAGTATAGATTTGATTGTTAAACGCTATATATTTCTTTGATGATGTTGATTATTAACCTGAAGAAGTCCAGACAAGTTTGCTGGACGAAACGTCAGAATTATTCTTAATTTCAATCACTGAGATTATTTCAAATATAATTTTCACATATAATGAATATTGAGGAGAGTTTAATAAATCAATATGGACTAAATATGATCATTAATTGGCCTACCTTAAACTGTGCAGCACATAATTCACGTTCATTTAATTGTTTAATTAAACATTCACATTTATCAACAAGATGTTCCTGTGATACTTTTAAGCCATGTAAAGCATAATCAACTTCATTACGTATAGCTTGTTCTTCATCTCGTCTTAAAATAAAACTATCAGTCATTATTGTTGGCAGTAGTGATGTTTGTGATAGAGATGATGATATTGAATTGTCAGTCATTTGTCCATTAATTAAATTAATCAGTTTCTGACCAGCTTCATAGGATTCATTTAATTGTTGACTTATATCATTCAATTCTTCTCTTAATTCAAATAAATCTTTACATTGTTCTTTATAACTATTTGAATCAAGGGGATCACGTCGAACACACGGATCATTTAAACTACAACCTGATCCAATAATGTTTAATGATTCTTTAATTTTATCTAATCTATTTTTTAGATCTGAAATAATTGGCCAAAATTGTTCTGATGATGTTTTGTAAGCTGATTGTAGTGTAATTACACGTGAACTTAATTTGTTACGTAATTGTATCCAATCTGTTTGAAGTTTTTCAGCATTTTTCAAAACTAATAAATAATAATAATAAATAATAAGAAGTAGAGTAAAGAAAACTCTATGAATCTTATTAGAAAAAAAACACTTTAAATATTAGAATTTTTCTTACTCTGTGGCAATGAATTTTTGAGACTAGTTGACCTAAAACTATATACATAACAGTCTCAGAAAGGTACACATATTACAAATATGAGTTATTTAATGGTTGTGTAGAATCAATTATAAATCTTACAGAAGCTATCGTGATCAACAAGAACACGAACGGTGACGACTAGATGTATCAAAGCATGAAATTACAGAATCTCTTAGTAAAATCTGAGAATCAATAAATACCTCATTTGCAAGATTTCCATCAATTGTCTCAGAACTTATTGTACTTTCATTTCCATACCAATCCATTTCTGTTCTCATTCTCTTCTCTTCGATTTTCTCAATCTTCTGACACCGGGCGTTCCACTTTCGGTTGGTGATACATACTACTTATATCTGTCGACATCAGTGGCACACACCACACTATAATTATTCCTCTCTTTCAATACTAATTTATATGAACAATGATAGTAGCATTCATTTAAATTTTCATCAGGGATGACAGTCAACTGACATGCCATTGAATGTAATGGAGCGTTGGAGTGGCTGCGTTTTATGCTTCAAAATAATGTAAACTTAAGTAATCTTCCATTAAAATGGTTAGTTTTACACTCTTTTCAATTAGCTAAATTTTCATGATAATCCAGGCGTTAGTGTGATGATATAAAGTTATAAATGATTGTTCTTTTTTAAAGTCGAACTGAATTATATTATCGCTGGTTTGGATAGAAATTTACAATGTCTTTTACATCTTATTTGAGGCTCATTAGTTGAGAGAAGTTGTGGTCAAAGTATTGGTGTTTTGAATGGCAAGGGCAACAACGACAGAAATAGCGACGACGAAAGTAAAATAGCAACGACAACAGTAAAATAGCAACAACATGAAACTACAAATACTAATCCATGATCGGGATAAATTCAACTTATATTATTTATTTGTTTTCATGAATATACCAGACAATTCTAGCGACTCTACAATAACTCCTATATGAGTTTATTCCAGCTTGTAAACAGACGAATAATTTTGATCTTATTGAGTATTCTGTACACCTTATATTCAGTTTAGTTACTTATTATTTACTTGTAATCTTGAGCATATTTATACATGTGTGCATACTAGTACGTGTGTGTCTATTTATTTACTTGTATTTCGTAGATTGGGTATAAAAAACTAGTGTATGTTATCAACTCCAATGATCAACCTATTCACCACATCTGTTATTGTTTGTCTGCTTCTTAATGTTCGAATGTATGAAATATATGTATCCTGAACACACTTCGTATTTAAGTTGTTTTATACTGTAATCACTAGTGCGTCTGAGTAAGTGCACGTATATGAAGTAATAAGATCTTATATTCTTTTCGTCTTTATTTAACTTGAGTCAATTAAGGACTAGAAAACACTGTTTAACTACATTTAAATCATGAGCCGATCTAAATTAGACCACTATTGAAAACCTGGAAGCACTGTACGGCTGTTTTTATACTAGTATGGTACTTTTCCAGGTTTTCAGTGTTGGTCTAACTTAGATCAGTTCATAATTTCAATGAAATTGAACAATCTCCACAACCCCATACTGACTACCTAACTAATCGTTTAGAACACATATATACACACAAACACATACACATGTACAGATCTATAAAATAAAAGGGTGCATAAACATAACAAAGTATTCCTTTAACAGCATTTCAGTACAAAAACAAAAAGGTTAATAAAGCAAAAATTACAACAAATAATGACGTAAAATGAAAATAAAATCCCCATCCATTGAAATTATAAGGTATCGATAAGTAATCAGTACATTTAACATGCTGAGACTTTAATTGAACGTAGGGATAAGAAATATGTTACAATTGAATAGTTAAAAAGATTGATTACGGAAAATTTTAAAACTGCACAACATTTATAAATTGGTTTAGAAATAACGAGAAAATAGTGATTGTATGTTGATAAACCTCGATACATATAAACAGACTGGATAGATGTAAGAAAACGACTACTTTTTTTTCAGCAGGACATAAACGACCTCTGTCTAGAATAATGATTCGAATAATCAGAATCCTCAATAGTGAAACATTAAAAACTTCAAATTAAAAGGATATACGCGTGTTACTTTAGTAAACTCAGTACGACTTAATAATCCTCAGTAGTTTGAGAACACTTGTATTTTTGAATCAATGAACTACCTATTCAAATATTTTCGTTTATCTTTTACTTGTAACAGTATCTCTTTGTTCTTTCAGAATGTATTCCTTCTTTCGAACTTCATTCCTTGAAGTTCAATTTACCATGAATATCTTGCTTAATTGTGAAACAACGTTCATCTATTTAGTGTTTGTAACTAAAATTCATACTTGACGTATTTGTGTATTATCCTTCACTTATTTAATAGGTGAAATTTCCTATTTGACTGTTTTTTTGTCGGCTACAACGATAAACTAACACCTCATAATTCGAAGCTTGTAAAAGTTTAGAATTTAAGTTGATTTCTACAGAGATCCAATATCTTTGGGAAAATCTTATCTTCCGACTCATATTATATACATGTATTTAGTAATAAGTTACTAGTAACAATGGATAACTATCAAATTATATCACTAGCTTACTAAATTTGAAAATGCGGATCATCAGATCAATGTTAATCTACTCGCTGCAACTCTAAAAAGTTTGTGTTCAATTCTACGCGTTGTCACTAGTGTACTCCAATGAGAAGTTCTAATCGAGAACAAAACAGTTATCTAATACACCTTGGTTTCCAGCAGTTTTCTAGCTAATTGCAGTATGGTGTGAAAATTATATTTACACAGTTAGTTTTGTGTTAATAACATGTGCTTACATTTAGTTATTAACGAGTAAATAAAATTACTATCACCAATTAAGCATGCTTTTACATGAACAATAGACAGTTGCAGTCATTTCATTCAACTCTATAACCATTAAGAAAGAATATATGCATATCTATAAATTTATATACGATTTCTTAAAACAAATGCTAACAGAAAACAAAATTATCTAAATTATACAAAACATGCACCATAAATGCTTACTGGAACTATGTAAAGCATACAATTGGCCTGGAAAATAAATACGTTACGTAAGTTTAGAAAGAGAAATAGTAGATCAGTCAGAAGTTTCAACTAAACCTGACTAAATAGAATAATTTCACTTGTAGAGATAGACAAATTCTAAATTTTAACAAGTTTTATTGCCGAGTAGTATCTTACGTACAATTACAACATAATCCCGTACATCTAGGAATAGTGTTTTACTGAAAGTCAGTAGCTTTTTAATTTATGAAGCAACAACATCCAGTATTTTTTAGCTAGCTAATCGGTAAGTAGTTCTGGAGTTCTCCAACTTCAGAGGTGCTTCAAACCATGATATAATAAACAGTATATGCTGCTGAAATGTATGCGATGTTCAGGAAAGGTCCCAGAGTTCAGCAAATTTTCAGAGAACTAATTTAATAAATAAAGTGAATAAGTAATAGAGGCTCATGGAAGTTATTCAGTTTGTTATTTACATTATGGACTGATTTTAGTGAAACAATCACTGAAAATCAGAAGTACTGGACACCTATTTCGTTGAAGTAGTATACTCTTCAGAAGTGTTTTGAGATGAATCTTGTGTGAACCAATGTTTATTAGAGAGAGAAAAGAATACGTTCATTTATTTACAGAACATGAGTAACAATGAAGCAGGAACTATGGAGAATACAATACAACAATCATACTAACCTGCTTCTAAATCAACCGATTCAATTAATTCAACTGTTCCTGGTTCACGTGTGGTTGTCGACTCTTTTACAGTTGGTTTTGATTCCAATTGAGCACGAATACTAATAGTAAGTGCTTCCAATTCCGGTAAACGACATTCCAATGCTTCCATTAGAGCAGATGTTCCACTAATATGTTCTTGTAAATGATCTGGTTGAACACTTGTCATTGAATGTATTCTGCCTAACATATCTAAAGCTTGATGTTGGTCAAGTAACTGTTTTGAACTTTCATTTTGAATATTAGATAATATAGACGGTTTAACAGTTGTGCCGGATACTTCCAGAGGAACGCCTAGTCTAACAGCTTGTTCTGATATAGCAGAAAAGAGATCTGACATTGAATGTAATTGCTCGACAAACTGAAATATTACAGGACAGATATTCACACAATTGTCAAACATGAAAATTATAATATATTTGAGGAAGTATATAGTTATATTATCATTATCATTATCAATACTATTAGTTGTAATAATTATCTAACTTCAAATCTATTTGATAAATTTTAAAATATTCTAGATTAAATCATCGAGGAAGAAAGAAAAATATAACACTAGATCTATACTACAACTTATCATTTATAAAACAACGTAAGAGATTGTGAAGTGATAATATGATCAAATGAGATATTATTGTAATTCTACTAGGTAATTAACCGTTGTTCTTCCACTGAAAAAACGTACGGTTAATTTTTCTTTAACCAAATTACTTTAGGAAAAGAAAAGAGAAACTTTTATAAATCATTCAAGAGCGTATATAATTCAGACAATATTAGAGATGTTTTTTTTACACTGTGTATAGTAAAAGTAGATGAAGATGTACAACATGAAACAGAACTAATACACAAACTTGCCTCATCTGATTGTTTCAAATTGGCTTCTGCTTTGATTGCACGAGTTTTAATCAATTTACGTAAATTAGCATAATTATCACAGATTTGTTTAACTTGCAAACGAACAGTATTAGCTTCATTTGGAGCAACTAAAGATAATAATGGTCCACTTGTTCTTAAAATTCTATCCAATACAGATTTTTGACGTTCAATCTCATTATCTAAATTCTGAACATAAGAATTAGGAAGATATAAGAAAATATTTATTTACACTGAATGGTCAATGAGCAATTAAGTGTATCATATTCGTTTGATCTTTAACACTGATCATATATCATTGATCAATATAACCACTAGTCTAGGGGACTTCATATTGGGTTCATTTTGGTTAAATGTTAAATGATAATAGATTAGTTCTTATATTTTGATTGTTCAGTGATATTTCTAGAATTGGTATTACTTGTGTTGATATGAAGAAACAATTTTCAAGAAGTGTGGTTCAATAATATACACGGCTAATTATCATTCTCCGGATTTTCTTATTACATTTACACTTCAATGTATATCTCCAGGTTGTAACATCCATATTATAAGACTTCTAGAATAAAATGTGTTTATTTTAACAAGATTTCTTGAATCTGAATAAACAGAGTTCTAAATTATAAAAATATCTGATATATTCGTATCTAACTCTTATTGATGATATTTAGTAAAATGATTTAATAACCTAACAACCTATACTTAACAGTTATCCGAAAATTGTCTATTACAAAATAAACAATAAACATAAGATATAGATTAATTATATCATGAACTGAAAATAAATATTTTATACAATTTCTTATAAACCAATCATTAGGGAAATAGGATTACGCCTAGATTTACATGTATATCCAATAGCGATAAAACAACAATGCACTGAAGAGACTTTATAAAAAAAACATCGATAGTGGTTAAAAAATAAAGAATAGATAGTTAAGTTTTAGTAGCTAAGTATTTTTCCAATTGGTTGATCACTGGGTGGTGATCAATGTCATGCGTGTCTAGTTCTTATTAGTGCAGATCGAATGCTATCGACCATGTTGCAATGTGGCCACCAGTCTAAGTGACTCGACACTGCGGGCACTATTGTGAGATTAGATGGTGGTTGGAGGTAGTCAACAGGAAACCCTGGACCCGGGTTTCGTGCTACTTGGCAATCGTCAGCAAAGTGTACCTGTAATCCTAAGGGAACTGGTGCTTCCTGATGGATTCGATCCCGTGTCACATGGTCGACAGCATTCGATCTGCACTAATAAGGACTTGACACAGATTACATTGATCACCACCCAGTGATCAATCAGTTGTGATTACATCTCAGTCCTACCGGAGGTTGGTCGCGGCCCGGATAGCTCAGCGGTAACGTCTCTGACTGTGAAGCTGGGTGGCATGGGGTGGAATCCGTCAGGGAGTACTAGTTCCCTTAAGATTACAGGTACACCTTGCTGATGATTGCCAAGTAGCACGAAACCCGGGTCCGGGGTTTCCTATCAACTACCTCCTCTAATAAGTATTTTTCCAGTTGGTAATTCTAACCCTGTATGAAGAAAACCAGTGTATCAGTGACTCTTTTATCGCCCCCTCCAATTAAACACCTTAGGTAATAAGTTATAATGCGAAATCAATAAATAAAATGGTCACTGATTGCTAAGTCATAACATTAAATTAGTCCTTTAAGAAATCAATAGGAAAATAGAAAGACCCGAGGAAATATAAACAATTTAAAGTGGTGATACATAAAATGTTAAATTCTGCCAGTTTATTCCTGGTAAAAAAGATTTCATGTACAAAAAGCTTCAGTTTGACGATGTCTAGTGGTTCGACACTTCCAAATATCATGAAACAGTGGAGGAAATTTTATGAGCTTCATTTCAGTTAATAAATGAATAATAAGGGATTTACTGAATGGCTCCATGTACATAAATTATTCTCATTCATCTCAATAATTCGATTTTATTTGACTATAGTATATCAGTATTTTAGAATTTTGTTAATATTTTTAGGGTCATTTTGAATGTTTGCGAGGTCATGGATGCGCACTGCTGAGGAGTACCATAATAGGACGGAACGGCCGTCCAGTGCTTCCAGGTTTCCCATAGTGGTCTAGCTTCAACTGACTCATGATCTTAACCTTTGAAATTACTACAATCTCCACAAAACCCCTTCTGATAAAAAATAATCAGTTATATTTAAATTTAAAACACTAGAAGTTACCTTAATCATTTCAATTCGTTTACGATTACCTCCTAAATCATCAAGTGTAACACTGGAATCTGATAAAGTGTCAGCAATTTCATTCTTTGCTTCTTCAATATGTTGAAGCCAGTTTTGAAATTCATACATATCAGTTGTAAAACATTTAGCTAATGGATAAACTTCAGCAAATTTAATTTCTGTTTGACTTAACCGATTATCAAGTGTTATCATTTGTTTTGAAACACTAGACACAGAATCACTTAATTCATGATAAAATTTATCTGTTGTAAATGGTACGAAAGATTTGTTTGTTTTTATAGGCGATGATGATAATGATGATTTTATAGCACTATTCTGATTGGCAGAACTTGTTGGTAATGCAGATGATTGTATTATGTCATGAATTTGATCGCATAATTGACTTAAATCAATTTGATATTTTTTCCAATTCCCTTGAAATTGTTCTATTCTTTCATGTAGTTTATCTAACATAACAGGTTGATATGGCAGAATAGCTAAATAAGGAAATTCAGTACCAAGTGAATGTATAGTTGGCATTTTTTCCAATGATTTATTAATTATAAAATGATTTTCATCAGAATAATTATCCCAATCTAATGATGGTGAAGTGGATATTTTCGGATCAAAACGTTTCAATGCTAAATCTAACCATTGTGATTTGATTTCTAATTTATGCATTAATTGTTTAGCTTTTTGACGATTACTACCAACAATTTTAGCTAAATCGGTAAGCTATATACAAATAAAAGATAAAAATAGACAAATCAATCAACATAGAATAAACAAGTAGGATACAGTGTGGAATTTTATGATATGCACTGACTTTCACACAGTACAATGATGATGAATACTACTAGCTACTTCTAAGATATTTTGATAACAACAGATCCATAGAAAATTGATGTTGACCTCATTAGTTTAAATAGTTTTTCGACTATCTGTCCGATAGCTTATCTAGCATCTTCACATTTGTCCACCTTCGTACGCATTATAAAATACTATTCCTCACCATTGATAATATTTTCTTTTTCGTTAATCAACAGTCGGGTTAGGATATGTCATCGAAGTAGAACACTCATTATTGTTTGACTCGATCGTATTAAGTTGTATTTGAAAGTGAGCAATGATCGTGGGGCCACTAATGAGTAGCTTTTCGATAAATTTCTAAGTGAGAGATCATTGCTTATGAATTTAACTGGGTAGTGAGTGAAATAGCAGCCAAATGAAAGTGTTAGGTGACAATATCTCTATGGTGAAAAGTGACTGAATTTCAAAATGCAGACCAATAGATTTCGAATCAGTGACTTAAACACTTTGTGCTTGTCCCGAGACCTGAAGCATATAATTTCCATTCTGTGCAGGGTCGTAGTTGTGTGATGTTTGACAATGTCAACTAAGGACGATACAGATGTTCATAGCTCTCTGGTTTTCAATATTTCTGCTACTGAGTCAATTAGAGGTGAAAATTATGTTTAATAAATCATGTTGATGACCTCTTGCATTCTACTGTGGTATCTATTTTGAATGACTAACAATATTACATTTATGAATTCGATAACGTCTTTGATAGAATGGATTGCAAAATATAACACTAATTTAAACTAACCTTTTCAGTGAATTCGTCATATCGTTTTAATTCATTATCGATTTGTTCTACATGTCCAAGTTTAGCATCTGAATGATCGGGGAAATGTGTTGTTGTCAATGTTGAAGGAGTAACAAACAAATCAATAGGTTTACAAATTTGTTTTAATTGATTCCAAAGACTGTGAACTTGTTGATATTGTGGTTCTAGTCCGTTGATCATTTCATATTCTAACTGATCTATTAATGACTTTTGTAACTCAGCTGAACAAACGTCTTTTGTATTGATTTCTAGTAATCCATTAAGCCGTGATTCAACATTAAGCAAACGTGAACTGAGCGTATTCACAGAAGATGTTAAAGATTGCGCTACAGGCAAAGCAGATTCTAAAATAAACAATTTTCGTTTTATGTCTGATTGCAGTTCTTCATAAATATCACTTATATTTACTAATCGATTTTGTATAGAATCTTCATTTACAAAAACTATAGTGGAAAGAAAACATGGAGTAAAGTTTATAATGATAGTAATTACTCATAATTTGCTTATACTAACATATAAATTTATGATTGAGATCATGAACCGACTGATGTTAGACCACCGTTGGAAACCTGGAAGCACTGGACGGCCGCTTCGTCTTAGTATGGGACTCAGCAGTACTCATCCACGATCCCGCTCGCGGGATTCAAACCCAGGGCCTTCAGTCCTGCGCGCGAACGCTTAACCTACTGGAACACTGAGCCGTCATCCAATGGTGTTCATACCTCAAACAAAAACTTAACAATCTCTACAACGCCTAAACTGATAAATTCCATTTTATTTGAGTTCCGGTGTAAACATTAACACTGGAATGTAGGTACATCCAGCTAACGAGTCCCAAATAGAAGGAAACATGTGTATTGGGTCCTACTGTCATTATTATTATTATTATTATTATTATTATTATTATTATTATTATTATTATTATTATTATTATTATTATTACAATTATTACTAATGGTCACAATCTATTTACTCTAAAAGATTCAATTTTAATTTATGCCTTTTTAATGTTATGCTTTGTATCTTAATATGTAGATAAAAGCTAAGTGGTTAGAGGAGTTAAATTTTAAACACAAAGTAGTATGAACTTCCTATTCACTTCATCTGCTAATTTTTGAGAAGCCAGGTAGTTTGTACTAGATATCATATAAAAGAATTCAATTAAACTATTTATCATGTGAGCATTCATACAATTGCTTAGTTTCGCTGTCTAAACAATATTATAAAAGTAATATTTTCAAGGTTAAGCTCAATTATATTGGTTGATATAACTAAGAACCTAAGTACAACATTGTGTGCTCAGCTTTGAGTTCTAGATTTTTGTATGAGAGCCAATAATACTTCTACAAAGCCTATGGGTCCTGGGTTGGATAACTGATGAGGTCATGAATATACGCAATTCAGAGCTTCCATACTAGGATGAAACAATTATTATGTTCTATAATGGTTGCCTAACCAAAGTCAGTCGTGTAAAACCACAACAATACCAGACTATATAAACGGAAGTTTATGAATAGGTTCTTCTACTCATTTGTTATGAGTTGAGTGTTCTAACAATAAAACCACGTTTATATTATTAGGATAAACTAATTGTGCATGAAATTGATATTTTAGCATGATTTTCGCTAACCAGATGAATATAATAATTTAAGTAGTAATTCAATTATCATAATTTATATGCTATAGTTTAAATCAATAAGTATGATTGTTAAGCTGTGAGTTAGGGTACGATTATTTATTTAATAAATAGAGAACTTATGGCCTTACGCGTTAATCTATACGAATGTAATGGAACTCTTTTAGAAAGTGATTATTTCCAATTGAACTATTGTTTGATCAATATAAAGATAAGTGTAATAATTGACTACAGATAATTATTTAAAGCGAAGTTTTTCAATCTCATCTTACATTTTATTTATTTTATCAAACAGGAAATATCAATACAAAAATATTATGAAATACAAAATATCATTACAGTAGTTAAAACCATGAGTCAGTTGAAGCTAGACTAACATGGAAAACCTGGAAGCACTGGACAGCTTTTACGTCCCAGTATGGGACTCCTCAGCAGTGTGCACCCACGATCCCGCCTCCCCCCGCGAGGTTCAAACCCAGGATCTGTCAGTCTCACGCGCGAGCGCTTAAGCATTAGACCACTGAGCCGGCATCCAACGGTGTTAATGTCTAACTTCAACTAATCCACGAAATTGAGCCACCGTATACTATTGTCTTCAGGGACCTGGTATCTCACAACTGACCTGGTTAAACTTCATACTAGGACGAAACGGTCGTCCAGTGCTTCCAGGTTTTCCATGGTGGTCTCGCTTCAATTGACTCATGATTTCAACTATTGAAATTACTAAAATCTCTACAAAACCCCTTCTGAAAATATGATTAGTTAAAATTAAATCATTGTACTACTTACATCTACCTGATTTACATAACTGTTCACCGCTTAATTTAATCTCTTCAATAGTTGTGTGATAATTTTCAATGTCTTCTGATAAACTCTGAATATGAAAAACAAAACAAAGGTGAAAACAGTAAAAAATAATGAATAAACAGTATATATGGAGACAAAGAAATTTTAGTTAAAATAAATTATCTTATTCCGTTAATGTTTACAAAAAAAGAAATCATTCGTGAACAGATATTAGGAAACTTTCGAAAAATATGTAGTGTTGGATAATATGTTAAGCCTTTACATGTTATTCCAGTTTCTGGACAGGCCAGTTTATCCATTCTTCTTGAGTCACGTTTCGACCTTGTTAACTATTCACTTATCAACCCTGACTGTATTTATATGATTGTATATGTACACTTCCTAATTTCATTCATCATGTATTTGGCTATAAATATTGATTGACGCTTGATTAAATGGAGTTGGATCACACCGCCTTCTCCACTGCGCGTCATTTTGCTTCACTCTCTTCAATTCGCTTCAGCCCTTAGTTCCTGTCCAGATCAATGAGTGTATAAAATATATGTCTTCGAAAATCCATTCTCATATTTGACTTATTTAATTTCGTTATTCACCAACGTTATTTAAGTCGATGAAATATACGAGGATAGGTAACATATGTATTTCAATAACAATCATTCATACGATCTAACTGGAGTCAGATCCTGGACCACTAAAAATAATATAGTAAATTTCGTTTCACCTATTCAACAAATAAGAAATAATATATATGAGTTGAAATAATTCCATTCTTTGTGTCAGTATAATTTAAATCGATCACAAGATCTCAAGTTGCCAAATATTAAAGACAAAAACAGAATAATCTTCATCAGTATGTCTATAGTAAATTTAAAGTGGAATGGTGAAAATGACTATATCTGAAAGGTATTAATTGCTTTCATTATATAGAACGACAAATCTTTAGAAGTTTTAACACGACTCTACAAGGTTTAATAAACTACTTTTGTAACATAATATATATTTTTAAGTATTAGTTTCGTGGGGATAATATGAACAAAGGATAAACATAATGATGGAATAAAAAAGATTATAATACTAGATTACGTAATACAAATAATGACAATAAAAGATTGTATGTGTGGAAATAAAAAAAACTTATAAAATTAATAACTTAACAACAGATTATAAGATGGATGGAGTAAGATAATTAGAATAAAATTCTAATATATATACAAGTACAATTGTACAGCCATGTAATATATTTGTTAAGCACTATTCCTATAATCAAATATTGAATAAATTTAATATATTCTATTGAGATCGCAATTGAATAAACTCATGCTGATATTAATTTGAATCCTAATAAGCGGTCTATGCTACTCCACGAGAGGTAACAGATTCAAATAAGTATATAAGTAAATATATTTATATTCAATGTTAAATATCTAAGCAAGAAATAACGAATATACTGAATATAGAGAAGTCATTATACGTACAAAATTATTATTATTTGAAATAATCTCATCGATTTAAAATTTAAAGTAATTTCAACGTTTCGTCCAGCTAACTTAACTGAACTTTTTCAGAATGAAACATTAGAAAGTATTTTAAATTTCAAATCATTGAGATTATTTCAAATATAAATATAAATATAAATAAAATAATAAACTTACTTTTAATTTTTTTAATTTTTCATTTAAATCTATTAAAATTGTTGTATGACCTATTGTTGTTTTAGTTAATTCTATTGATTCATTTAAACAAATTTGTTTTTGTTTTAACCAATTTAATATTTGATAAATTTTTTCATTAAATAATTTTTCACTTTCATTACATAAACGAAATTTATTTAAATTAAATTGTATCTCTTTATATACATAGTCATAATCATTATTTATTAATTGGTTTTCATAATTCAATCTATTTCGTATTGATATATTTTGTATAAATTGAATTAATTTATTTAATTGTTCAAAACTATCTATTCTTGATAATATACGACTATTTAATGTATGATAATCATCGATTATTGATGTAATCATTTCTTGATTAAATGATGATGATAATTGATTTGAAAGTATATGAAGATCATGTTGAACCTAATTATTATAAACAAAAAGGATTATTTGATAATTAAACACTTGAATAAATTTGAATAATTGAGATCATGAGTCAATTGAAGCTAGACCACCATGGAAAACCTGGAAGCACTGGACGGCCGTTTTGTCCTATTGTGGGACTCCTCAGCAGTGAGATAGTAACTTACTGATAACAGTGGTGGATATGTCACTCAATTTCGTGGATTAGTTGAAGTTAGACATTGACACCATTGAATGCCAGCTCAGTGGTCTAGTTGGTTAAGCGCCTGGCGCGAGACTGGTAGGTCCCGGGTTGGAATCCCGCGAGGCGGGGTCACGGATGTGCATTGCTAGGGGGTACAACAATAGGACGAAACGACCGTCCAGTGGTTCCAGGTTTTCCATGGTGGTCCAGCTTCAATTGACTCATGATCTCAATTATTGAAATTACTACAATATCCATAAAACACCTTCTGATACTTGAATAAATGTATAATTCATTTGAAAATAATTCTTTTAAAAGAAAATTGAATCAACTGAGAGATCACCATTGCCAAGACTAACACAGGCCATCTAGCCTTCTGTCATTTCCAAACTGAAACTGAATTTCCAGTTGAAATCACAAGTTATTCTACGATAGATCATCATTGAAAACTTGAACGGTCGTTTCGTCCTAGTATGAGACACCTCAGCAAAGCGCATCAAAGATCCTGAATGCGAGACTCGAACTTAAGACCTTCAATCTTGCACGTGAACACTAAACATTCTAGTCAATTGCCTGAGGTGAATAACTCTCTTACACCTGACACGGATTACACTCCATTAATCATAGCCTCTCACTAGGGCTACAGGAGTTATATCTTGAAGCTAGTCACTAGTTAGAACATGAATTGTTTGAATCGTGGTTTTGTAATTAGTAGGAGAATAATTTCGAAGATTGTTCAGGAACACCGAATTCCTCTTGATATTTACATTTCAATTACTTCATATCATAACAAGATACATTTACAAACTTTTGATATCGTTTTTAAACTATAGTTTGTTAACTTATATCTAGAAATTCAAGTGATTCTGATTACATTAACGATTATTTAGTGGATGTATGTATGTATGATGGTTAGAAATGAGTGTTGTCAGGCCTAAAAATGAATTACCTAGTATATACACCATCAACAAAATATTAAGAAATTTACAAAAAATGCTGGATTCAATAATGATAATTGACAAATCTTCTGACTGAACACTTGAATCAGTTTCCTAAACTCTTCTGACAACCTCAGGCTAAATATACATGATAACTTGAACACTACAGAAAAAGCGCGAATTATGGAAGGAACTCTTTACTCCGAGGTTAGTTTATGTACAGAAAATCGAGGGTATTTATAGCATTTCAGATGGCTTTGGGCTTTTGGAGGATTCTGGAACCCTACTAGACATAATAGCAGCGTAGGTAATCATCCAATCAGAAAGGCAGCTCGTGACTCATCACTTTCTAGATGTTTTTGAGATACTTTTATTTAATGTTGATTGGACAAAATGTTTCCCAGTGTTTTCAAGACCCCTCTGGGATTTTTTCTTGAGGAATATTTTGGATCTGTCCAATAATGATATTATTGGTGCTTAAAAGCTGTAAAATAAAGTCAAGAAAGTCATAGTATTTGAGTGGATGGAAAGGTTTGATCGGTTCAATGGTTTATTTTTGCAGTTGTTGGTTTCTTCTCATAATTCACCACTGAATAGCGTATACTAGATCTTATCTAACACAATAGTTAGATTTACATTTTTTAGATATCTCTTGAGTCATTGAAGGCATATTCAAACAAAAATAAGACAACGGAAAGATAAGTGAGATTAAACAAATAAGGTGCAAACTCAGGAATGTCATTTAATATCAATAAGGTATCAACAAAACGACTAAGAAACATAATGCACTTTTAGTTAATACTCTACCCCTTTTTTACTTAGTTAATTCAATACTCACAAAGTAAATCTTCAATGTTCAGAGATATACCAGACGTATCAAAGCTATTTCATTTTGATCTAAATTTTCTTACTTTAAACAATCACCTTATGCGTTTACGAAACTTTACTTAACATAAGAACAATTAACGGTACATTTCTAGTTTTGTTCGTTTGACAAAATTATAAAAAACTCCGTATTTGTGAAGTCATGATGCTTGTTATTTTAGTTAAGCTCGTTAATTGAATGGAAAAAAATGCTTATTGTAAAATCGATAGATTATGCGCCCAATTTTTGTAAGAGTTTCAATCACATAATACTGAGAAATACACAATTCATCAGTTTCCACAGGTTATTTTGTTAAATTTACTCAAAGGAGGCAAAACGGAAAACATATTCAAACAACAAATAAAACATATGATTATGATATGTAACATCTACCTCAACTAGAGTATCACGTAAATGTGATATCAGTCGCTCAGCTTGTTTTTCAGGTGATATAATAGATTTTGAATTGGCTAATTCTTCATGTATAACATTCTCTAATGATTTTATTTCATATTCTAATTGATGTGAACTGATCTGTTTATCCGATGAATCATTTGGTGATTTACACAGCTCTTCACTTAATTCTTTCAACGATTTCATATTCGAATCTAATACATCTAATTCGTTTTGAAGATATCTAAGAGGAGAGAGAAAAATCGAAGAGAAATTAATGGAAACAAAATATTAAACAATACTTGTTTTGTATTACAAGTTAATATGATACAATAAAATCATTAAAAAAACAAATAGGTAATAAGCAAATCTTGATTACAACGAATATCCCTGCTTTAGACTCATTTTAACTGACTCATTATGTATGCTAACTGCATAAATTTATAATAAATATTTTATGTTCTGGGAGCTCTTCATTATCAAGAAGACGAATTCTCCTTTAAAAAGGTAAACAACTGTTAATGAATGTTTCAATAGAACACTTTATCACAAATAGAGTTGGGCTATAACGCAACCACATTTTAGATTTGTTTAAGATGGTCGTGGTGCCATTTTAGACAAAATTATATTGTTGATTATCCGATCATCGATGAACAACTGATCAAATGTGTAAAAATAGGATATGGGGATTACGTATTCCTATGAAGTGCTCTCAAGAATTAGAGATAGACAACGAATATCTGGATTAATGAAATCTTGTATCATTCAGAGATCTAGAAAAGTGAGTGTTGTGATATATTAGCGTATTCATTTTTTAAATGGTCAGTAGATTGTACGAATTCAGTCATCACGTCTGATGTTTATCATGAATCCTATCCAATTCTCCAACGTTTGCTCTTTTCGTTGTAGGGAACCAATAGTTCTGGAGACTGAAAACATACGGATAAAATGTACCAATCTTAAAAAAATATGTATGCCTTGTATCGCTTATTAGCAGTGATTTTTTGCTTTTGAAGGTCCAATGAACACATTTTGAGGGGAATACAATATATTACTTGAAGAGAGCACTATAGATAAATGTTAACTTACTGTTCATTTAATGGTAGTTGACGAGATTCTCTAACTTTTTTCAATGAACTATTAATATTTTGACGAAGTGTTGCCATTTGTTCTGTTTGTTTAACGCGATTATTTAATGCGCTAATAATGTGATCTATTTGTTTTGATATATTGTTACACTGCGTGTCATATTGATTCAGGGTTGTTAAGAAATTTGAGTAAATTGGACTAAGTTTCCTTTCATCTGGTAATAATACCATTTTATCAGCTAATTCAGTACGTCCATCATTCAGATTTTGCTTGCAGTCATTAAGCTGTGGAGTAAATTAATGATAATTGATTTACATTGTAGTAGAACTTTGAATCGACAAGAAAATAATGTAAAAATTAGTAGGTTGGAATAAAAATATTATAGCAACTCACATTCAATTGAGTTTGCTCTCACCTAATTCGGTTAAGCCCTTTTATTAACTTATTAAACGGACAAAGTCACCTGCACTATAATAACTTATTGTATCCTTATTGCTGTTGCGAATGTATGTACCTTTATTATTGTTATCCTTGTATGAATACGTATGCTCGGCAAGCCTTACTGCCTACGCATTTATTCACGCTACTAGCTTTACTATTAACCGCTTAATTGACTCGATGATTCATTAATTTCACTATGTATATATATGTCCATGTTATTCATATTCATGACTCGCTCGCTCGTTCATTCACTCGCTCGATCGCTTGCTCTTGCCCTTGCTCTCTCTCTCTCGCTCGCTCGCTCGCTTGCCCGTTTGCCTTTCGGCACAACTATTTCATGCTTGCTTAACGCATCTGTAATTTTGGATATCTGTGTGTGGTCCCTTAATAAACGTAATTAACGCTTCGTATTCGCCTTCTGATTAACATACCGTTGGAGCATTATTTGGTGACGGTTACCGAGACGAACTGTATACGGAGTTTAAGGAATATATCGAACACCGACCACCACAATATAGTTCGATGTGGGGTCAGTGATTGCTAACTGTTGAGGAATTTAAACTAGAGTTGAGTTTTCATCCGATCTTCCTTGGTTCTCTAGTTAATGTCAGTTTGTGAATAATACTATTTCTAATGCAGTGAACATCAATAAACACTTGGTTAAAGCGTATATCAGCTCCATTATAGACATGGATGAACAGGTCATATAGTAGTAACCAATATTATATAGTTTAAACTTTATTATCGTCAAGATCTACTAATTAAGTCATATTTTATATGGTCAAGTGAGAGGTCGGCTGGATTTGTATAGCATAAAAGTTAACAGCTTACAGTAGTAAAAATGAATAAAATGAGGACAGATAGTTAAAATAATCAAAATGGAAGCAGTATGACTTTATTTTTTATTGTTCCAGATAGTCATCTAGCTTTACAGTCCGAGATGTTCGGATTCCACAGAGAGCATCAATTCCTTCAAAATTGTAAGTAATAATTCCTGATGAGTACCAACCGTTACTAATCTTGGGTCAAATATTTCCTTTCGACTACCTAACAACACATAGTATCGAGTCACTCAGACTCGTAACTACATTGTTACTTCAGTCAGTCAGTCAGCTGCAACGTAGGACCAGGCACGTATATGCATCGGTCCAAGTTGCCATACCGCATTAGCACAACAAGATGAACACCGGATTCATAGAAGTAGTTAATTCAGTGGTGGTAATATATAGAATAAAGAGTGTGTATAAGGAGATATTACAGGAAGATAGAATTAGTTCGTAGAAAGAAAGATTTGAAGTGATTTTAATCTCTTAGTTTAAAGGAAGACAGAAAGTGTATACACCTACGCCATTGTGATCGATCCTGAGCCATGGCACCCAAAGTCTCCAACCATTGGTTACCATAGTCACGCGGACCCCAACCAGGTAGTCTGCATCTACCAACATGGCTCAGACCAGAAGTTTGTGACTTCAAGGACTGATGCCACGTTTTGGTTTGGCCGCCCCTAACTTTCTTCCAATCATCCCTAACACCGGTTAGCATTGCGCGTCGTGGTAATCGGTGTTCAGGCATACGTAGCACGTGGCCCAACCATCTCAGTCGATGAAGATTCATAACCTCATCAACTGATTTACCATCATTCCCTAGTACCCTGTGTCTAACCTCACTATTACTTACCCGGTGATCCCAGCAGATACCCGCAATATCTCTAAGGTATCTGTGGTCAAATACTAGTAACTTACGAATATCTTCTACTCTCAAAGGCCATGTTTCGCAGCCGTACAGTAGAACGGAACGAACTGCCGCGCAGTATACTCGTCCCTTAATTGATAGACGGATATCTCGCCTTCTCCATAGATGACGTAAGTTGGCAAAGGCCAAACGAGCTTTACGAATCCGTGCTGAAATTTCGTCAGAAACCAACCCATTAGGGCTAGTCAGACTTCCAAGATAAGTGAAGTTGTCAACGCGTTCGACTACTTCACCCGCCTATCCTTAGTTCAGGTGTTGACGCAGACCAGTCCTGAAGCAACAACTTGCATTTGGAGGGAGAGAAGCGCATCCCAAACATTCTGGCATTGTTGCTCAGTGCTACCAAAAGACTCTGCATTTCATCAGCGTCTTCACCAAACAGGACTATGTCATCTGCGTATTCTAAGTCAATAAGTGGACCTCCTGGTAGGAGATCGATACCTGAGAATTCAGTCGATGAGAGCGTTATTTCCATCAGTTGATCTATGATGAAGTTAAACAAAAATGGAGAAAGTGGACAGCCTTGGCGGACGTCACTTGATCAAGAGAATTCAATCAGCCTTAAGGACTAGACAAAGATTATAGTGATTACTATTTAGCAATCAATCAGTGTAAATATGAATTTTTATTTAAAACGAGAGTTGACAGTTTTGAGTTTGTTTGAGAATACTAAGAATAAATTAAATTTATTCTAAACAATTCAATATTATGTACACCGTGAAATCTGCAACAAACTGATGGTAAATCCTATTGACCGTGAATATCTTTCAATTTGTTGAGTAGATTAAGGTCTCGAAACTAAGTTTATCGGAAAATTAATTTAACATTGATTTCCTACAGGATAATTACTCCCAAGGTGTATGTTGAAAGTGAGAAAGTCTTAAATAAGTAAGGGTGATGAATTAAACGTTTTTCTGGTTAGCGTTTTATTAGAGAGTTAGTGTTCTACGGAATGGGGTCGCTAACTCCATGCCCTTCTAAGTCACAATGTAAGACCTAACATGAAATCCTCAAGGCCAAAGGAAAAAAGAGATAGACCAAAGAACACATTACGCCGAAAAATGGAGACAGACATGAGAAAAATGAACAGAAATTGGATAGAACTGCAAAGGAAGACCCAGAACAGAGTGGGTTGGAGAATGCTGGTCGGTGGCTTATGCTCCATTGGGAGTAACAGGTGTAGGTAAGTAAGCAATAAATTATATAGAACTTCTATATAATCAATCGAAATTGATCACTGGTTTAGAAAAAAAGTTATTTATGGTAGATTTTCACGCATATGTGATATGATAGAGTAGCAGCTAAAATTATACCACAATTTTAGTACTAACATCAAAGATGGAGAATAGATCTGATACTTTCTGAAAATAAAACAAATAATATATTAAGTCTAGTATATTAAATTAGTTAGCTGAAATATTCATTACATCTATCATATTACTAACAATTCAGATTGCTAGTTTATTAAAAGTCATTGTCAGATATATTATTTTTACTTTATCTTCTCTACATTAATTTTCTGCAACAATTTATGGCAACCTGTTAAATTAGTGAAGTTATAAAATGAATAAGACTACTTTGTAATAATAATGAAAGACTTCAATTGGCGAGACTATAATTTATGGACGAACCAATTAGATATAAGATAACGAGTCACGAATTCTGGCGCGAAATTCATTCATGCATTTGGCTAAATAGAGTTTTGGTATTATAGCTTATGTCAGTTCGTGATGAAAACCCTAAATCTAATTTTCAACCCTGACCATCAACTGTAAATGAGAATTCTAAATGCTTTATAA